AAGTAAGCTAATTCATCTTCAGGAGCATTATCAGGAATAAATGGCCGAGGGGCTGTTAAGGCAGAATTAACTTTTTTGACAGTTAAGAAAAATTGCATTTTTTGTTTCCATCTTTTAAAGTGAGCTCCTTCAAAACGGAAGGGCTTGTTAAGGTCAGCAGACATAGTAATATCTTCGGGAGACATATGGTTCTTACAGGCAGAAAAAGAATGTTCTAAAATTGTTATAAACGGAACTGCGGGAACAAAAACAGTAAGAACAAAGTTACCGAAAAATAGACTGAGTCGCGGACTATGTCGCTTTCTTTAGAACATTCACGGCACTGCCCTGAAATGGTGCAAGCAGTTCGTACTAAACCGGATGTTCCCCAGGATAAAACAGCCTTTCTCTATTGAAATTATACCGGTGGAACTGCACAAAACCACCGGGCAACTAAACACCCAAAAAGAAAAGAAACTGCTCGAGGGTTTTGTTTTTGTGAGGAAAAATAGAGAGGAGAAGAAGATTGCTGTTCGTATTTTTTTGTGTATCAAAAACAGGAAATCAACACGCCTTTTATAGGAAAAATTGCAACGTAACTGCTGCTGTTTAATTAGGCACTAATCACGCAATTAAAACGGTCATAAGTTGAACGTTCAAAACGGTTACAGAAGATTAATGCGTGGCAAAACGTTTAGCAAAAAATCAGGTAAAACGTTTGCATGATTAACGCTCCATTAATCAGTTTTGAATAAAAACGGTCAAATGCAATCAGTCAAAAACGTTTAGCAAAAATCAAGGAACTAATCACGCAATTAGCCTTGTCCAAAAAATAAGTTTATTTAATAAACCCGACCCGACCCAACCCAACCCGGCCCGGCCCGCGTGTGTGTGATAGATGGTTTACCATATAGGTCCTCCCTCTCCACAAAATGTGGGTAGCCCAAGGGCCACACCCCTTTAGCCCACTCTCTATATTATAAAGAGAGTAAAACTCTCATTTCCCACCAATGTGGGACTTTGAGTTTTTTCACAAAATTCACACACTACACACTACACACTTGTTGTTCCAACAAAATCTACTTGTCAAAAAAAAAAAAAAAAAAAAAAAAAGTCATCCTTGGTTCCCAATGGCCAGAAGCCCTAATTTTTTTTTTTTTTTTTTTTTTTTTTGACAAAGTTTACGCTAGAGAAAACTAAAAACGTAAATGAATAAAATGACAACAACGAGCTAAACTAGCCAAACGATCAACATTGTTGCAAAACATTGCAATTGAAAATAAACAAAGGAAGTACTTTGTACATTATTATTTTATTTTATTTTTTGTTGGTAAGGAGAAGAGTCCTATCGGGTCGGAACCTCTCACATGTCCTTCCGACTCGAGTTACAGGGCTAGACACTTTGAAAGTGGGGGGAATGGGTAAGGGAATCCCCAAACCAAAGTGCCTCTAGTGGAGTTTGATCCCACAACTCATGGTTGTGAGATGCAAACCTTACCACTAGACCAAACATAGCTTAGTACTTTATATATTAGTATGGGTACGACTGTGATGTATAAAAATTCATTATACCCATATACAAGTACGGGATACAAATTAAAATCGGATTAGAATATTAGATAATATATAGTTGTGCGGCTAAAGACCAAAACGATCCAATACCATAGTGACTGAACCACGTAGCCTAAACAATCGAACCAAAAACACATGACTTGAATTGTCCTAACAACAAATTCAACTGTCACTGAATTTCACCAACAATACAACATCTTAAGAGAGAAACAGACACACACTGAGAGATGGCGGGACTGCTAGCATGGGCAGCCGATGTAGTAGGCGCAAATGAAAGTGGTTCCGATGTTTCCGACGACCCCAGTTCGATTCCCCTCATTCTAACCCCTCAACAGCAGCAGTATCTCAATGAATTGAACCAGAAATCAACTTCTCTCACTCGTTCGATCCAAGATCTACGGATTAGACTCCCTCCCTCTGACATCGCTCAACGTCTTCCTCATCTTCATGCTCATTCTCTTGCTTCCAATGCTGCTCTTACTCTTCAATTAAACTCCCATTCTTTCACTCGTGAACAGGTAATTTCTTCGATTTTTCCCTTTTATTTGATGATTTGAAATTGTTGTATTGCTTACTTTTTGTGTGGGGGTGCTTGTTTTTGGGTTAATTGTTTGATTAAATTTCTGGGTATTTGATTTTTGGTTGTTAATTGTGTTTTTTCGTGGGAAGTTTTGATTTTTTTTTTCCTAGGGGTTTTAGTTTAATTGTCGTGCCCATTTTAATTTTTTCGGTGTTTTGTGGTAATTGCGCTTATAATTGTTATCGCGAATTTCCGAGAATGTGAATTTTGTTGCAAATTTATAATCTTTCTGATTTGCTATTCAAATGTTGGAGTTCTGATCATCTTTGTATCTGAAATTTCCATGGGTTACTGCAATCTCTTACTGTTTTTTTATTTTACCCTTTTCAGTGCTGCATTATTATGACCATAATGAAATCAGGTTTTTATGTCTGTATTTTCCTAGTCAGTAAGGCTATGGTTGAGGTCATTTGGCCGATTGAGTCAGTATTTCACAGGTTGATGCTTAGGCTGTGTTCTTCTCTCCTAAAACCACGAACTTCAATTTTTGAATCAAAGCTTTGCACTCCCTTCAGTACATTTTGATAGTTTGTGATTTGTTGCTTCAGCGCGAATTGCTCATTCCAGCTTCTATGATTTTGGAGCTTTTAGATTCAAATGATTCGATTTGGTAGGCATTGTTTCATTCTTGCATTCTGCTTGTGTGTCTGATCCGTGTTAGCAATTTTGTGATCTTAGGTTTGATTTCAACGTATTTATTGAACTCCTGAATTGAGTTGATTGCTTGAAAGAACTTAAAGGATATATGGGGTACCATGTCATCCCTTTTGCTATTTAAACACTAATACAGTTCTTGATAATCTGATCCATCTTTGTTATTGGAATCGGGGGGGTTTTCCTTTCAGTGACTGAATGTCTTTGATTGTGATTTCCTGCTTGCTAAATCAGGGATGTGATATCTGAAAGGACAAATATGACTTATGACCAGTAATTTGTGCAAAGTTTCAAAAAAGGATTATGGGTAATGGTGGAAGCTTTCTTCATGGCTTCATTTTGTGATTGACTTTGCTGACCAGGCACAACAAAGGGAGGCTAAATTGCTGGAAGAAAATGCTGCTTATGAAAAAGAAATCACAAAATGTGAAGCTAAGATTCAAGAGAAGTTGCAGGAGGCAGAACAGTTCCAGCAGAAGTTGAAGGTAGGCATGATTATTCAAGTATATGGTTTTATACATATTCCTTAATGTGGAAACAAGTCAAGAGAGAGTAAGAGTCCTTATCTGACCTCTGTCACAGCCCACGCCATTGTTTAGGGTAGTGAGCAAGCATATGATGTGGAGAATTAGCTTCATTTACCATTGCTTGACTGAAGTAGTAAATTTTTCCGATAACTAGTTTCCTGTTATGCCCATCAATCTGTTAAAATTACAGTCACAGTAGGATTAAGATTACCATGTTTTCGTAACTAATATCAGAGGAAAATCTGTCCTTGGAAGATACAAATTCTTCTAATTGTTTTGAGTTGGTCATTGATCTTAAGTTTGGTATTCTTATCAAAGTAAAGGTTTACCCAAACTACTCTTTACCCATATCTGCTGTTTTCCATTGGCCAATTTAATTCCTAAATCCTTTCCTTCTGCTGTTATGACAGGAGTTGGACTCGATTGAGGAAAATCTGAAAACTGAGTTGCAAAGAGTTCAAGCAGCTTCAAGTGCCAGTCAGTCTGAGAAATCTGTTGTTCAACATGAAAAAGAAGTGGACACTGCAGCTGAAGAAGATGCTTCCCGAACTGCTTTACTTGAGGAATTGGAGAACCAGAAGAAAGAAATGGTAATGCTTGCTTCTTCCGATATGCTTTATACCATTAAAATTAGAATATAAAGAACTAAGCTGCAGAAAGGGTTGCCAAAGGCAAGCATTTTTTATTTGATGGAAGATAGGACAAAGGATTCGAACTGTAGTTTTATGTACAATTCCTGTATGTTCATTTGACTGTTATTAATTTCCTATCTTCCCCTCTTCGTAATTCTTACAGCAATTAACAGAAGAAAAGATTCAAATGTTGGAGAAGAAGTGGGCAGATGTTCAAGAAAAGGCACTTAAGCAACCTTCACCAGGTCTGTACATTAAAACTATAACTCTTTAACCAGCTAGCCAGCTACTAGAGTTCTCTTATCACTGTCTGTGTAACATTTTCTCCAAGGTTTTAAAGCTGGTGCTTTAAGGTTATCTTGGCATAATAAAAGTACATGGTATTATTAATTTTTTGTTATCGACATATCCTTCAGCAACTCTCATTTTGGTGAAATTGATCTTCTACAGCTCAAAGAGAAAAGGCATTGGACAAGCAGCTTCATAGCTTGATGGAGCAACTGGCTGCAAAGCAGGTTAGTTGTCCATAAAAAGCCGAGGCATTAGTTTTGATATATTATTTGAGAACAAAAGACATGTCTACTGTTCTACTTGTGTTGAAAGTAATTGCTATACCCAACCACATTATTCGAGTCTTGTTGATGTCTGATCTAAGATTGTTTTTTCTAGGCTCAAGCAGAGGCTCTTATAAATGAGATACACATCAAGGAGAAGGAACTTGAAAGATTGAATGCATTGTGGAGAAGAGTTGAGAATACCAAGGAAGCTACTGCTGCTAGGAACCGCTTTGCAAAAAGCGGCCCAACCTATGGTTATGAAACTGACACTGACCTCGACAGTCAAAGCAACCTCCCGTATCACTCTGGTGGTCGTTCTGAATATCGGCAAAGACTCAGGATTTTAAGGTCCTCCTTTGTGCTTTATGTCTTTCTGCTGCACATAATAGTCTTCATCAGAATTTCATTCATTTGAGAATGCTGTTTCTAGGAGTTCTGGGTTTTAATATGAGGATCAACGTTGTGCATAGAATAAATGACGATTAGTGAATACCATGTATGAGTAAAATGCCTGATTTGTATTATCACCAATGTAATGATATTGATAGTTAGAATACATAGTATTACTTAAACTCTGATCTCAACAAATTTTCCCTATAAAATATTCTAGCAAGCTGTCAAAACCTTGAGTAATAAAAATACAATTTCCCTCATTTCTGCTGAATATCATCCCTTCAGTCTAGCATTAGAAGCAGGAAATCACTCCAACTGTCAATCGGCCCTGGCAAGCACCAGTGGACGCAATCACTGGGCCAGGTCAGATTGGCCGGACGCCCGTATGTACTCGGGTGTCCATCAGGCCGCAACAACATAATCTGGGTCATATCAAGGAGTTGTAAACTCAGCCCACGCTGCTGCGCCAATCTTTGGCCCTCCCTGAACTCCTCCATTTGGGCCGTGTACAGCTCCAAAGTCTCCCCTTCTACCTTGACCTCATTACTTTTATAGGGTCTTTTCCTCAAGCAATCTCCTCCATGATCCCACTCACCCCCTTCAAAGTGACCGGGAACAAAAGTCCTCATGTACACTTTGCCCTTGAAACTTTCCCTCTCCAAGATGGCCTTGAATGCTGTCCGAAATGCATTCCGGAACCCAAACGAAAGGGAATACTCTGTTAGGTTATCGATCTCACAATAACGACAACCCATAAACTGTCCTTTTTCATAGTATATAAGAGGTCGGAAGAACCATTGTCCTGCAGATACGATAACATACTCATACTTGTCAATTTCATCCTTCCAAACATCATCAGCCTCGTCGAGATGAAGTCCCCAGAAGGTCTTTCCTGTTCGGCCATTGGGATCATTTTCGATCGTTTTCACAAGGTATGGACTCCATAATATAACTAATGTAAAGTTGTACGATTGATAGTACCAGCGTTTGAAATTATCATCTTTGCTAGTCGAGACATCTAAAGGGTGTTCAACCTGTAAAATTTAAATAAACCAATAATGATTATGATTTTTATATTTCTCAAAATTAACAATTTCTAAAAAAAAAAAAAAAGTGGTGGGTGATGAAACCACATGATAAATGAGGATTGTTGCTGTCAGTCTGACAGTGAAATAAAATGTGCAACTGCACAACATTACATGAACCACTGTCACCAATTTGGGGAAAGGACCATGATCTATTCTTTATTACTCGTACCTGATTATGATTCAATTTGTCAAAACCCTTAATGACTTTTAACTTGTGTATAACATTCCATTGATTGATTTGGGTTGTTAGCTTGATTACAGTAATTCTCATATGATACGGAGTAAAAATCTAAATCTAATGTCACAATTAAGTGTCGATGAATTCAAGTACTACTCCATTCGTTTAAAATTAGTTGTCACGGAAATACATGATAAATCAATGAAATCTAAAGAAAAGAAAAGGTAATCATACTTTGATGTAGTCTACATTACACAATGGAATAACTTTAATATACCAATGTGAGTATGTGATCATTGAATGTTTGTTACTGGCAGTCAAACTATAGAATAAATAATTGAGACATTGTAATAAAGTGGTAAAAAAGAAAAAGTATACTCAAGTATAGTTTGTCACTGATAACACTGTCGGCAACGTATTCTAATACTAGCTGTATATCAACAATACTGAATTACGAACCTTTGAATTAACCAATTCAACTAGTTAACATCAACAAAAATACATAAGGAAATCTAAATCAAAACAGTTTCAATTCGATTCAAACTTTATCAACTAAACTAGCTCACGAAATCATAAAACAAAAAACGAAAACTTACCCGAGACAAGAGGCAGATCAAGGATTGCATTTGATTCCTAGCAACAGAATCACCAACAAAAGCCATAGACTTATTCTTAACAATCTCAAAAAACTTAATCGGATCAAAAACGGGTAACTCACAATCATTAGGCTTCCACCTCCACTTCATGAATTCAGTATCGGGTCTACCATACTTCATACAATTTTGATGTTCTTGAATCACCCAACAAGTTTCATTTGTATAATATGGAGCATCCATATTTGGGATCCAATCACCCGAATAAAGATCACATTTTTTAATTCTTGTATCACTTTCTGTCGGTGGAGCTCCTTGTTCTTCATTGTTGTTTATGTATGAAGTTGAAATTATTGGATTTGAAGGTGTTTTGATTGATATATTTTTGACTAATTGTAAAGTTATTATTGTAAAAAGAATTATTGGAAGTGTTATTTGGAATACTACTTTTTTGTTGAAGCTGCAATATTGAGTTTTGGTTAAGTGTATTTGTTCCATGATTTTTCTTTTCCTTTTGAAACTTTTGTGGTTTAGTTCCCCTTTTATTAAGTTTTTTTTTTTAAAGTACTCTTATCTGTGATGTATTCAGTGCACCCTTAATCATCTGACATGTGGCAGTAGAATTTACTTTTTTTGATACTATGATAGTGATAGTGAAAGGGGGACAAAGTGAAGCAAATGGAAATGGTGAGTATGTAGAAATTTCTTTGCCTTTATCCCGTTATAGCTTAATTGGCGCAGTCTTGACTCTTAAGTACACATAGCTCTGAATAATTTTCTAAGAATAAATTCATACTCGTATTAGTTTTCAAACCGTAATAAAACAAAGGCTTGCTATTGAGATGCCTCTCCTAATAAAGTAATTATAGCCATAATTCAAAATAGAAAGAAGAAAATGGTGCTTACAACACGTGAAAAACAAAACAAATGACATTTTTTTTTTCCAAATCTTTGAATAATACTCTATTTAATAATCTATCTTGTAACAAATAGATTATAGTGCGACAAAACAGAGAAAAAGAAAAATGAATCTTGTATGATGAATTGATCATGTATCAACCTCTTTTGTAACAAATTGGTCCTTTTTTTTTTTATACAATTAAATAAATTATACCAATTGCTAAACTTCTTCATGCATCATGATTAACAGTATATAACCCTCTTTTAATCTAATTTTAGTGAAGATTCTTCTCTTCACTCTTTAACATCTCAAGCAAAAAATCATTCCAACTATCAATGGGCCCGGGTAAGCACCAATGGACACAATCACTGGGCCATATCCCATTCATCTTAGCCGGACGCCCATATACACTCGGGTGCCCATCGGGCCTCACCAACATGAGCCGGGTCATATCGATGAGTTCGAACTTAAGCCCACGTTTTTGGGCCACACTTTGGGCCTCTTTGAAAGCTTCCAATTGGGCTGTATACACCTCCATATTTTGTCCATCTAAAGGCAATTCATAGCTTTTTATTGGACTAGTTCTTTTGCAGTCCCCCCCATGATCCCAATCTGCTCCTTCAAAGTGGGAGGGAGCAAAGGTTCTCAAAAACACCTTACCTTTGAAATTCTCCCTCTCCAAAATGGCCCGAAACGAGGTTTGAAACGCGTTTCGGTACCCATAGGAGAGGGAATATTCCATAAGATTATCTATCTCACAATAACGACATCCCATAAAATTACCCTTCTCGTAATAGATAAGGGGCCGGAAAAACCAATGCCCCGCGGATATGATAACATAGTCAAATTCATCGATTTGGGTCGTCCAAACATCGTTGGCCTCGTCGAGGTAGAGCCCAGTAAAGGTCTTTCCAGCTTTGCCATTTGGGTCATTTTCTTGGGTCTTGACTAAGAATGGGCTCCAAAATATAGCAAGTGTGAAGTTGGAAGATTGGAAGTACCAACGTTTAAAGTTATCATCTTTTGTAGGAGAAATATCCAAAGGATGTTCTACCTGTAATAAAATAGACATAACATTAACAAACAATCTTAATTGAATTGAAACATTGTTACCACTATTCTTTTGGCTCAACATTAGTAAGTTAAATGAGATTATTATAAAATATAGTAAATCATATTATTAAATGATTTTGAGTTTTTGACACAATTACCTACTTATGCATCCCTTTGGATGCTTTATTAGAGTGTTGTAGTTCAACTAACCTTGTCTTTTTACCAGAACTTTTGCATCTATTGTTTTGCTTTTTGTCAAGAAAATCCAACATATATACAAAATTACAGGGTGTGAATGTAAGATGTAATAACATTTCTAATGAAATTCTTATATACATCAGCGAGGTCACGAGGTCATTCCACCTCATAGTGTAATTTGAACTTATAATTAATATTAAGGCTATGTTTGTTTTTCATTTTGGCCTTGTTTGGTAGTAAGCTTATTAGGGGCATATTAGCTTATTTGACTAACTTTAGCTGATTGACTAGTCAAACAAACTAATACAAGTGTTTGGTAGTAAGCTTATTGAAAGAGCTTATTCCACTAAATAAGCTCTTTTTGAAAAAGCTCATTTTAGGAGCTTTTTCAATTAGCTTATTCATTAATTATTGTGAAATGACATTTATAACCTCATTTAATTTAAAATCCTATCTAAACTACCTACCCCACAACTAGCTTATTGGTCATTTCACATACTCAATCACCTTTAAGCTATCAGCTATTTACCAAACACTTTTATATAATCAGTTAATAAAATAAGTTAGTCAAATCAGTTAATAAAATTAGCTAGTCAAAATCAGCTAATTCAATCAGATTCAGCTTTCAGCTTTCTCCCAAACAGGGTCTTTCATGATTTTCCTTCATTTTTTCATTTTCCTTTGTTTGTAATTATAAGAGATAGAAAACAATATTTCTAAAGATGTAAAATTGCACTTTAGACAAGGAAAACCGTTTTCCTTTGAAAAAAAAGGTATTGCCACATTTTCCTCTTCACTCATTACTTCTCCGGCTTCTCCTTATACTATCCTCCCATCCTTCCTTTTTTTTTTTTTTTTTTCATTTTTCTTCTTCTCCTTAAGTTTTCCTCTAATCAAACAAAGGAAACTTTCTTTAAAATCATGTTTTTCATTAAAAATTATTTTCTTTAAAAAGTGATTTTTCATGACAATTGTTTTCATTCAAAACCAAATGGAGCCTAAATAAATAAACCTAAATGTCAGCTCAATGGTCAATCTAACTTCATAGTACAGAGCATATTAGTCAATATAGTTGGTAATCATATCTAACGTAATAACTAAATTCGAATGAAGTAGGTTATAAATCTTGTGTAGTATTAACTCTACAGGTATCCTTTTTGTTCATTATAAAGGCTATTTGATCATCAAGAACAATCATATGAGAAATTTAAATGCACTCTATACATACATTTTAGTAATCCTAAATAAAATGCAATTCCACATTATACATAGTAAATTAAAAAATAAAATAATTTTATTTAGTAAGCAAAAACTACGTGTAATAATTACCTGAGATAAGAGGCAAATCAAAGATTGCATATGATTCCTAGCAACAGAATCACCAACAAAAGCCAAAGATTTGCCCTTAACGATATCCAAGAACTCATTCGGGTTAAAAACGGGTAATTCACACCCGTTTGGCTTCCATTTCCACTTCATAAACTCGGTATCGGGTCTACCATATTTCATACAATTTTGATGTTCTTGGATCACCCTACAAGTATAATTTGTATAATATGGAGCCTCCATATTCGGGACCCATTCGCCCGAAAAAAGATCACATTTTGTAACCGGGCTAGGTTTAGGGCTTGTTTGGTAGCGTTTTGATTCGATCACAACTTGATCATCATCATCATTAGTAGGTGGTAATGATTCTTTTTGAGGTAAAGTTTGTAATAATTCAACATTATTAGCGTGTAATGACTCTAATGAAGTACGATTAGTAGGAGATTTCTTGAAAGAAATGTTCTTGGATAATTGTAATGTGATTATTGTAAATAAGATTATTGGTAATGAAATTTGTAGAATAAGTTTAGACTTGTAATTACGTTTTGGAATTTTGTGTATTGGCATTTCCATTGAGGAGAGAGAAAAAGTTTGAGTTTTTTGGGTGTTTCTATGGAGTTTTGATGTGATGGAAAAGAATGTGCATGTTTAATTTTGTCAACAAAATTTAAAAAATAATGAGTATCATGCTAAGTAGTCCTTATAATTGTTTATTTATAATTAGTAGCATGTTACTAGTTAATTAGCTTGATTTAGAATATTGTGGGAGATAGTCAATTGATTAATACGGATTAATGGAGTACTATTTTAATGATCTAATTTATTAAATTGACTTTTACTTGATTAATTAATGATGTAAAAAACTAACGTGCTAGTTTGATTATGATGTAATTGAAATTAACCGGATTCAGATTAGACTATGATGATTAAAGTAAATGAAATCAATTTTGCAACTTTAATCTAACTAAGTCAAATTGAAAGGGAGCTTTAGATGTCTGGCATCACTTTCATAAAACTTTATATACTATCTTCGTTTCATATTTTTTGCAACTTCGGTATATTTTATATCTCACAAATAATACCCCGAAATTGCAAAATAATATAAAACAAAGGTACTAGATATTTGTTCTTAAAAACTCACTTGCTTAACTTTGAAATCAAATCAAAAGAATCATGTAATTTAGTTTTTTTTTTTTTTTCAAATAAGCCAATAAAGCAATACAATGCAATTTACAATCAATGGTGTTGGGGATTTAGACATATTGTACACGAAACTTAAATCTTAACCAGTAGACCAAAACCTCATTAGTTAAATTATTTCATAATAAGTTGAACTAAAGCCAACTTAAATGATTATTTATCACTACCACGTTCAAATCTATCAACAATTCAACATAACACGTCTCTTAATAATTGAAAGATAGGAGATCCAATATACAATTATTATTCCATTTGTTGACATATACATACTACATAGTTGCCAAATTGGAATATATCAACCGGTGCCAATAATGGTAAATTAGTGGGCAATATTTTCCTATATAAAAAGTTGTAGTACATCACTACATGTGAGCTACTAAGAATAGAATCGTCGAATGAAGTTTCTGGGATATCTGCTTGCTTCCAATTTTCCAGCTCATAATGATGATGATATAAAGATTCAATTTTGTTTTAAATTTCAATTCAGATTTGAGAATCAGATTAAAACTACTGACAAATTACAAAATTTGGGAACACCGACTTCATGCTTAATTGTAAATCAAACAGAGCAAAAGTCTACTAATCTTAAAACTGAAGCATATTCAACTCCCTTTAAAAAAACATTAAAGGTTACAAACAGAAAAAGTAACAATGCTATTTTGCATTCTTTTATAAAAATTTACTTAAAAGTTAAAATATAGTACTTGGTTGCATAATTGCCTTCTTAACACGTCTAAAAATTTAAAATGGTATTCATATCAGTCACACACTAAATATTCTTTTTTTAGGACGTTCACCCAATTCAACGAAACTAAGCTCCAACTATATTCGAACCTAACTTGGTTCGCACATCTGACTTATGGTGGGTGATGAGTCTACCAATAAGCATTTCTGAATACATTAAAGCTCGAACCCAAAACTTCCCTTAAGGGACATCAAGTTGCTTATCATTTGATCCAACTCTTATTGGTACTAAAATACTCTTATTAAGTACTCTTTGTAATAATAGTTGTCTTCTTTGACTTTGGAACTAAAAACATCAAGAGGTAGAAAAGCCAAGAAAAATGAATATGATGTATCAAATATTGAAAAAACTCAATTATTTGACCCCTTAATTAGGGAACCCTCGTACTATACAAATAAAAATATTTTGAAAAATGCATACACTAAACCCCATTAATAAATTAAACTATATAAAAATATATATAATTCCAAAATTAATCAAATCATAAATCATTGTTTAACTCTTCAACTTTCTCTCCTTTGAATGAAGAACCATATCTTCTTTAGCCCTAACTCCTTCACTTTTTATCATCTCAAGTAGAAAATCATTCCAAGTGTCAATGGGCCCAGGCAAGCACCAATGGACACAATCATTATATAAAGTCACATTTTCATTGGGCCAATGCCCATACCTACTTGGGTGCCCATCGGGCCTCATCAATATGGGTTGTGTCATATCCATAAGCCTGAACCCCAGCCCACGTTGTCGGCCCAACTTTTGGGCCACTTTGAATTCTCCTAATTGGGCCATATACAAGTCCAAATCAACCCCTTGCAAACTAATTTCACTACTTTTGTAGGGCTTTTGCCTCAAGCAATTCCCACCTTTGTTCCACTCCCCCCCTTCAAAATGTGAGGGGGCAAAGGTCCTCAAATAGACTACTCCCTTGAAGCTTTCCCTCTCCAAAATGGCCTTAAACGCGGTGTGGAATGCCTTTCGATAACCATAAGCCATGGTATAGTCTGTCACGTTTGGAAGTTGGCAAAATCGACACCCCGTGAGAGTACCTTTTTCGTAGTACATAAGGGGTCGGAAGAACCAATGACCCGCTGATAGGATAATGTAATCAAACTCGTCGATTTTAGTTGTCCAAGTCTCATCTGGCTCGTCGAGGAATAGTCCAAACAAACCGTTTCCATTTGGACCATTTGGGTCATTCTCTTGGGCTTTCACCAAGAATGTACTCGTAAACATGGCTACCGTGAAATTGTAGTTATTGTAGTGCCAACGTTTAAAGTGTTCATCTTTAGTGTAGGAGACATCGTATGGATATTCCACCTAAGAAATGATCAAAGCGTAAAAATTAATTTGAAAAAAAAATAGAAAGATCCGATATTAAAAACAAAGATAATTAAGGAATTTGTGAATTTTATATAGACATTATTGGCTAGCTGAAATTTGATCAACTAGAAGTTAAGAAGACAGCTATATAATGCAAATCAAAGCAAATAATGGAGAATATATGCAAAGAAAATATAGTGATGTGACTCCATGCAAAAATAAAAAAAGATTGTGATATATTGAAATGTCCCACAAATATGGCAATTGTTCCAATTCCATATTTTCGTATGATTAATCTTAGTTAAGACATAAGTTTCAACTAATTGTACTTGAATGTTGAATTGCTCAAATTTTCTAAATTATCCTTTTAATAATTAATTAGGATGTGAAAGGATATCAACTACTTGCTATTTGTACACAATTATCATCAAATTAAGGACCCTAGTCATATATTTTAAAATTGTCAATACCGCAAATTAGGTAACAAGCAACAATCATATCTAGAAATTTGCCTTCTTTTCTATAGTTTTGGTATTATGTCATACTCGATCTAGTTAGCTTTTTTCCATTATAAGTTTATATTGGAAAAAAGTTGTTTATTACTCGTATGTAACTTTTACTTAAGAACCTATTAGACCGTGTTTTTAAAAAAATTATCCTCAATTATAACATGTTACATGAACTAAAGTGTCGATAAACACTTCTTTTACAATTTGAAAACCTATATAATTAACAAATTCACATTTTATTCCGTAAGAACCTCTCATAATCTTATACAAGTATTTGTAAACTTTGAATCCACTTATGAATCTACTAATCAAAACAAGACTAATTCTAGGAAATTGGATGACACCTCACCATGTCTTATCTTTGGATCATTTATCATATGAATAATACTTGACAAATAGCAAAGAGAGGGACATTTAAGTGATTGGACTATTGTATATCAAACTCGTGAATAGCTAGCTATTCATGAGTTGGAAAGATGAGGAAAAAAACACAAATTCTACTAATGAACAAAACATAAAACAACGAGTAATACGAGTAGATGAAAATGGAGCCTAGTAACTAAATTGTGGAGAAAAATACCATTTTAACCAAACATGCCACATGGGAGTATGTACATCTTTAGCCCCTATATACACTAAATTACAACGTTTCTAGTTTATGTACAAATCTATACACATAGAAGGTATCCTTTATGTCACTTAATTTAATTTAATTTAATTTCAACTCCCAAAAAAAATATAAAATAAAAATCAAGAATTTTTCGACAGGGGTGATGTGTAAAAAGAAGATCAATTTAGATGTTTTGCTAATTTTAAAATAATGCTTGTATTATAAAGCATATCTTTTGGATCTGAATCTATTCTTAACATGGAAAGTATAGTTTGATTATGATTTGATCAAATTACACAATTTACACATATGATAAGGTATAAATCACTATGTTTTCCTATTTCAAATAAATAAATAAATAAATAAATCACTATGTTTTCCTAGATAAATAAAGAAAGATTTTGTTAACCTAAAAAAAAATCTAAATATAGAATTCACCTTAATCTACTTAAAAATTGTAATTAAATCAACTCAACCAAAAACTTAAGATTGGTTTGGATAGCATCCGTCATCAAGAAAGAGAGTCTACTACACAAGTCTAAATGAGGTTCCACCCCAAAACCATATGGCAATAAGTGAAGTAGCCCCTTAGCCTTATAAAGTATTTAAGTCTTTCATCTATTTTTAATGTAGGACACTTACCTATATTATTTTGTAGGATATACTTCAATAATTCTATACTCTGTATATGTATTCAAAATATTATGCATTTTTTTCTTCTAAAATTAAGTAAAAATTTTAAATAATAATAATAATAATAATAATAAAAATTAGAGTAATTATTTTATATACAGTTCACCTAAAAGCTACCAACATTAGTTGCTCGTTTTGGATGATTATTTTGAAGATATGAAGTAGAAATATTTTGGATAAAATAAGGTTAAATCTTTATCGACTATATGACATGTATAAAGTGGATAAAATGGAAAATTAATGGAAGTACACATACTTTATAGCATTGGAAATTGAAGACCTTTTGCGTTCAACTTTAACGGTGCACTATAATCTAACACGCCGCATGTGACTGGATTTTAAAACAAGTGATCTCACAGTCTCACTTGTAGTTTGTAGAATCCAAAATAATGTGCTCCTCCATCCCCTAAATTATATTTCTAATTCTACTCATTCCTCACATAATAAAATAAAAAAAATAGAATATAATTTAAGAATGAAAGGAATATTAATTAGTTATCTGAATTTAATAGATTATTTTAAAATTATTTTAATTATAGGTAATTCTTGTCAAAACTTATTTTTTTAATTATTTTTTGAAATTATTGTAGTTATAAGATCATAAATAAGTGAAAACAACTAAAACAAAACATAAATCCTGTCTATAAAAAGTTGTATTATATGTACGGGCCTGTTCTCATATATTGAATTGAGCTGAACAAAATTGAACTGAATTGAACTAAACTAAATATTTTATAAGAGAAAGAAATTAGGAGCTGAACTAAAATGAGCTGAGATGAATTGAAATGAAAATAAATATATGAGAATAGCCCCGTAGCCTTTACCACTATTAACTCATACTTTCATACTTGCCTCCAAAATAGTACTCCAATAACCTATTTCTTGGAGTGCGTGAATGTGACAAATTAAGTGGGAAAAATTACCTAAAAAAAAAATTAAAAAATGGAGACGATGGTGAAGGAGCGCATGTGACTATGTGACATTACCATTATCATGAAACCGGAGCTTGTGACTCTGAAGCCCCATTTGACAATGGCCCATCGAATGTTTTTCCTTTTTCTTCTTTGTTTTGAGCATAAAATGATCAAATGTTTTATTTTAGCAACACTGTCACTACTTTAATGAAAAAACTAATCAAATCTTATTTTCTTGCTTTTTCCTTTCCAAAAGTTTATTCCAAGAGTGACAGCATAACCTTTCCGAATATTAAACTTATTTTTAAGATAAATTAGCTTAATTTAGTAAAAATCATTAGATGATTATCTTAAGAGACCGACACAATACTTTTAATTTTTATAACAACATTGTAACTCAATAATATTTTGTCATTGCTAGAGTTAGCAAATTATAATATAACCTACCAATCAAGCCAATTACAATATAATGTAATATGTACTCCATAATCGACATTATTTATACACAATATTAATTTGTCCGTACTTAAATTTAAAACAACAATAGTTTATACGAGTATTATTTTACAGAGTACGGAGTATTTTATAATTTATATTTTTTCCGTTACATATTACTCGCAACAAAGGGGTATTATTTTTAAGACATAAAATATTCTTTTATTGCGAGTAATATGTGACAAAGAGAGTAATTAAAATAGAGAGCATAGTCGGTAAATTATACCTTACATTCTAACAGTAAAGCAATGTATACTTTATCACCCTTTAAATTTCTTTACCCCCCACACTCTTTTTTTTCTACTTCTACTATTTTTCTAACAGTCAATGCATTAATATCTTATTCTGACACATTTTACCTAAACTTTCTACCATTTTGTATTAGTTCAACTAATCTAAATATATATTGGACCAAAATTTCTTAGATCCACAAATTATTTATTTATATTTTGACCACCTAAGATCTAAAATTATTGCATTAATCTTATTTTACACTATTATTACTCCGAGATGTACAAATTAACACTCACACTAATTTCTAAAAGTTTATGTATCTTACCATGACGTACAAGTCAAGTCTTTAAGTAGGACCTCACTTAACTTTTTTTAATGATTCATATTGACACCTTAGAATTTGCAATTATTTTTGAAACATCTTATCAATTCATCTATCCTTTATATTTTTTCGCTTATAACATCAATGCACATCAAATTAACTTTAGATTCAAGTTTGATATACGATGTGATCGAAAGTGTGAAACTAATAATAGTGTGATTTATTAGTAAGCGTTCTTTCTTTCTATGAAGAGTCAATCACAAGTTGTAGTGATATAGACAAGATTTAATCTTTAAACTTGAACATTGCCAGCGTTTAAGACGACTTTAAAACATATATAAATTGAACCGAAAAAGACGGATATACGTGCTTCCAAAAGAAGTTTTCCTATGTGCTACGAGTTCTACTCTTAACACTTTGTAAGACACAAACCGCTAATGCTAGCTGAGCTAACGCTGTTACCAGTAATAATATACTTAATTAAATAATACTTCGTATTTTTTGTGTTGAATTTTCATTGTAAGAAAAGAGTTCGTTAAATCCGATAGATGACATATTGAATTATTGACATGATATATGATATTTTAATCACCATATAAGAAAAAATAAAAATAAAAAGAAATATACTTATAAATTAGTTTTATGACAAATGTAATGAATCACACACCATATATGCAAACTTGTCAAGAATTCTAAAACATGGCATAAAACAAGGAAAAAACACTAACCAACTTTTGTATATGCTACGTAACCCATGCATTTTTTTCAGGCATCAAAATAACAGAATACTTTATAATATAAGATTCAAACTATGACATAAAAACTTAGATATATAAATATAAATTAATAAAAAAAAAAAAAAAAAACTTACCCGAGACAAGAGGCATATCAAGGATTGCATTTGATTTCTTGCAACAGAATCACCAATAAAAGCCAAAGATTTACCTCTAACAATCTCAAAAAATTGTCTAGGGTTAAAAATTGGTAAGTCACAACCATCCGGTTTCCACTTCCATTTCATGAACTCACTATCCGGTCTACCATACTTGATACAATTTTGATGTTCATGAATAGCCCAACATGTTGTGTTTGTGTAATATGGACCCTCCGGATTTGGAACCCATTCGCCCGAAAAGATATCACATTTCCTTGTTGTAGGAGGCAATGATCCATGCTTAGGAGGAGCGCGAATTTGGGTATGATCATCTTCATTGTTAATGTATAGTTTAGGAGTAGTAATTGGTTTAGGTGCACTCTTAAAATAAATGTTCTTGGCTAATTGTAGGGGAATAATGGTTAGTAGGATTAATGGGAAAACTATTTGTAGGAATAGTTTTAGGTTGAGTTTAAGTTTTTGGTTTTTTGGTAAGGAGACTTCCATGTTTTGTGAGATAGAGAGGAAAGAGGGATAGATGAGAGAGAAAGAGAAAGAAATAGAGGGAGAAAAATAAGCTAAAGTGAGTGAATGAGAAAAGTTTGAAAGTTTCTAAGAGAGTTGTTTGGGATTTTGTGATGAACAAGGAATGGAGTTGTTAAAATAATTGTTGGATTTGGTGGTATTGTATATGATATGAGTATGACCCAATCTTTTATCATTTTTCTCAAAAAGAGGGCTATCATTTATGTGTAGTTTTTATTATTCTTATTATATAATAGTTGTACTTATGGTTATAAACTTATAATTAAGTGCATTGTAGCTATATTAAGTTGATTATGATTTGGAATTTTGCATCGCCCACACAAATGTTAATTGATAAATGGAAAAATAACTCCCATCAAAAAAAAAAAAAAAAAAACACATAAATGGAATAATAACATTAGAATAATTTGTAAATAACTACTACTACATTCATCTTTTGTTCTACTAATATATTTTAAGACAATAAATAAACACTTTTATTTATCTTTAAGTTTTCAAGATGAACTTAGACTAGTACGGTATTTCTCTTACTTATTGTATACTTCATATGTTTGATAAAAGTTATAAGAGTTATCAACTTTTAAGTGTTACTCCTACATACTATTTTCACCAAGATGCACATTCATGAAATCTTGTTATATTCATCTCAATGTGTACTTAAAATTCTCTGAGAATTTAATTGACCATCAATGGTGAATGGTCATACATGTATATATCTTAACGCAAGTTCAAAAAAACATTTTTAACATGTGGCCAGGCCAGCCATCTCTTTCTTTTACAAATTAGTGTACATATATCATTAATTCGATCGTATGCAAAGTTTATATATTCCGTATATTTTTTGATGGAGTATCGGTTGTATATCTACGTACTTCGTATATCTTAATATGACATATATATACAAGACACGATCAATATATGCAAGCAACATCATGTATAGTATAGTATTTAGTCTGATGTATACTCAGTAATCAATACTCATATTATGTTATAAAATGAAATTTTTAACTCTTAATTTTCAATCAGATACTACTGATCATTTCCTGATTGGTATAGTTCTTAATCTATGCCATATTGGTATGTATTTAAAATTGTATCAATGCAATTAAGAGTGCCAAATTGGTCAACTATAGATTACAAAATTGTCATCAAATCGAAATATATTATGCGTAATTAACGGTACTTATATAATATCCTAGTACTTCGTATTATTGCATTGGGTAGATCTAATGTATGACCTCAATTATAATTTAGTAATTTACTGAACCAAAATTTGGAATATAATTTATTTTATAAAATGTTTTATGTACATAAAAACGTATTTTAATATGCAAAACATCTGACATACTTTCCTTGTTAAATTTCAAATCTGATTAAGTATTGATATATATACCATTTGTCTAATAAAGTTAGGTACTTGATCACGTGGTTACATTCATCATTAGGTATCAGCAATCGGTCTTTCGGAGAAAATAACCACTCCAATATCATGTTGTGCTTTCTTTTCATTTGGTATGAGATTTAATTTGTCTTTCCAACATTATTATGCACGATTAATTTTGAGTATTTGATTATTGAAACTCAGGACTTGTTTATCTAAACTGAACTGATTGGAGCTGTATAATACGACTTAAAGGCTAAAGTTAAGGGCAGAAAGTTGGGAACTGAACCAACTCCACTTTGTTGTTATGTTAAACTCCTTGATTGACAAGCCATTCGGTTGCTTTATTTCCTTGGCGATAAATATGCATCACCTCCACTAACCATCTTTCATCTTCTAATAGCTTCTTGCAATCTGTAATATGCATCACCTTCACTAACCATATTTGTGTTCTAGTTAATTGTTATGACCACAACTATGAAAATGTAGTTAACTAGCTAAAACAATTAAAACAATTCTCAACTCTAGCGTGTTGATTTTAGTCTTTTAGATTGTTAATGGGTATCGTACGAGAACCTAGGAAGGTAGTTACGTTACTAATGTCATTCTTGAGGCAGTGGGTCTTTCTTGGGCAATCGGCCCAATAAAAATTTGGGCCAAAAATAGATAAGGCCCATATCACGTAGATTAAGATTAATGAGGGCTTGTTTATCTAATGTTTCGAATAACGGCCCAACTCCAATTCTATCATACCATTCATTCGTGGACAGAAGCTCAATCTTCCAGGGAATGCTGATACAATAACGTGTACTACTACTACCACCCCACATTACACTCGTGACTCCGTTTTATTTTATATACAGAGTAACGTTCAAGTATTACCAATTAATATCTTTTCCCGTCATATAGAAAATCTACTCATTATCATATTCGATATTTCCAACCTTAATGTATCAGATTGAGTACTCTATACTTATTTGTATTACTCCGTAACAAAGAGAATCACACGGACTAGTTGTTGTTGGTGAAATACAATGACTTGAGAATTACATTAAGTATGTTTTACATTTGTACTATCATAAAACTAGTACTTAGATTTTTAGGTTTTTTCTCCCTTGAAAATTCTTGAATTGAAAGGACAAAAACATTTCCAGATAAGTGAAGAGTCGTGATTGGTAACGCATAACGACTATTGCCACATATTATTACAAGTATCTGTTATCGGAATCTAAATAAGTGAATCATGAATAATATATCCAAGAGCTAAAAACCAAATATGTTAATCTCAAAAGAAATACGACATCAAACAGATTGTCACTTTCTCCAAAGTAATAAAAGATAATTTTCCGATTTTTGTACACATCTAATTAGAATATAAAAAAAATAATAAAAATATATATAAAATGACAATTCATGTTTTTTGAGGGGGCAAAAGTAACAACACTTGGTGAAGTTTGTAACATGCATGCATCATCTTCTTTAATTTCATTCAGTTGCAATAAAGCTGTTAAAACAGAAGGTGATGATTTAATTTGGATTCGGTTTTAACATTATTTTTAATTATGTCATATAATTCATATTATATAAATATATGCATGCATGTAGTACCATATACGTAATGGTCCACAAATTAAACATAACACATGAGAGATCGATCGAGAGAGATGGGGAGTAGATATATGGATGATGCATGGAAGCATGGGATGAGTGTGGATTTGTGCATGCATTTTCACATTTTATAATTGATTTATCTCTTAAATTTGCTTAGCAAATGTAATGTAATTGTACAAATAAAAGCGTTTTTAGTAAGTTTAAAATTATAGTATGTGTTATGATCTGGAAAGGCGATACGTATCTAAAACATGCAATAATTAAGTTTCGTTTATGTTAATTATTATGCATGGCTCTCTGAACAAAGAAAAATTAAATTATCCGTACATTGTATGAGTAATAAGTACTCTGTATAATAATTTCTATTCCCTCTAACATAGAGTTAATTGATCTAACTATTAAGTATTTTTATTTATTTATTTTTATGAATAATGTGGCCCTCTTAAATTAATTTTTCTTAATGGAAACGAAAAACTAATTCTAAAATAAAATAACTTAAAGGAAACAAAGCTGAAAATTTAACGGGGAAAATTGTCCCATTTTTTCTATATTAAATCCAACCATAAAATGTCCAAAAATATATAATTAATTAATCAATCTGCCCAACCCTACTAAAATGGCGTAAATGGGTGGTCCTAAGGGGACTGAAATGGCAAGGAGTCTAGGGAGGGGTCATATACTTTTGACTCTTTAGCATGAGATGGATCTAATTTGTGTTCCAACTAATTAGGGCGCAATTAGATCCTATTTTAGATTGAAATAATATAAATCTTAAGTCACCCACATCCAACGCATCCATCCATCACTTACTCAACTCATCACTACGATCCATTCTATTTACGTACAGTATAATAAATTAGATAGTTGATAGGTGATTGCCAAAATTCACATAATTTTACAACTAATTTACTTTTAGTCTTGTAACTACTCTTTGATCATAAAACTTGTGGTTAAATATTACTTGTATGTGAAGTATATACATATATACCGATCACATGAATAATTTATTTCGTTTGTATAATCTTATAAACTAATGCACAATCGTAACTCAAACCTAAATCATTAAATGTGAGTGGTAGATTAGTAAGTGATAGACTTGGTGGTGATCATGGACTATTGTATAATCTAAATTAGACCTAATTTCTTCAATTTCTAACCTAATTCACGAATAGAGCTCATAAATGTAGTGGAATTGGAGTTGGGAGTCATTATACTATTTATAAATCAGAATCAAAGTGAGTGAAATCGTTTATTTAGTGGAGTACTCTTGTCTTAGTCACATCCATCATATATCAATAATACAGATTAATTGTTAATGACGCCGAAAAATTATTAGTGGGTTCTAATTTGTTATTTGTGTAGCCCACTTAATTAGTAGCTACACTCTATGCTCTATCCCTATTTTTTTTGCCCTAAATCTAATACGAATTATATTGGTCAACTTTTAATAATTTTGACCGTACGTACCATGAATTCCCATTAATCTATAAGAGGTCGTTTATCCACATTAAATAATGAGAACAAACTTATATAAACAAATTTAATTAAGAGGTTTTTGGTTGAATATAAGAAACTTATTGTTAGATCAAGTAAATTTAGATCATTGAAAAATATCAAATATTGATTGTATGTACTATGTAGGCTATATACTTTGTATTTCTCAACAAAAATGAACAATGGCGAATCTTGATTAGTCTTTCAATCTCTTTTCATAATATTTTACAAGAAACTACGTACTATATATTACGTATTTACGTATGAGAAAGGACGTGGTACCCTGTGTATAATTATAATCTAATAATTATACTTTCACATCATTAATATACATCTTGAGAAATTATTAATAGTTAAAATTAAGAAATCTAATAATCGAGCACATTACAATCATGAATAATTTAATAAGCTACAAGTTAAGGATGCATTGTATGGTCCTACAATCAATCTATATTGTAATTTGTAAATTGTAAATGTACCACAATTGTGTGGTCGTCCTTCTACACGTAACTTATTTTTGCCCTTCCTATTAAATGTATTTATCGTGACCTTTCAACTGCTTATTTCATTTCATATACATCATCTCTCTCACTTGTTTCCTCTCTTTCTCACCATTTCATACATTATATTATCAACTACTTGCTTGTATATAGCAATTAAAGGTTTATATACAAATATAGTCATTATTCTCTCAGGTATGTTACTTTAATTTTATCTCCGTTCATATGTTTTTCACTCTCATGATCTTAAGGTTACACTACACGTTCAAATTTATCCTAAGGGTTCTCGAGGATATCACTCAATCAACAATCACTTAGAGTCTTTCATCATGAAATCGTTATAAAAAGTATATGTTTGGGGTTTATTGTCAAATAATAATGTTCATTTAATTTGAATTTATATCTTGCAGGGTCGTCCAAAAGATTACAATGGTGACAATTGGGTTGGAGAGATTGATGGAGACATTGAAGACAAAGTTGGCTAGGTCTTTCAAGGGGAAAAAGTTTTATGAATATAATGAGATTGAGAAGAGTGAAAGTATGAGAATAGAGATAAGAAGTAAAAAAGCACGAAAGTTGATTGAAGAGACTCTCAAAGTTGCCGATTCTCCAACTAAGAGAAGTGTTTCCATTTGACATAAAATCAAGAAGCTAAGGTCGTGTATTATTTTAAATTCAGGATAGTCATGCAAAGCATCTACATGGAAGCAAATTGTGTAGCCGATTATTTGACCTCATTCAAGATTAAGACTAGAGTACACCGGCTTTTCTACTAAGAGAGGCAATTTAATTTTTAAGGAGTACGTACTAATAATTTAATATGTATGGTTTTAATAAACCTTCATCATCTTTGTATTTTTCCAAAAAAAAAAAATTAAAAAAAAAAAAGCTACACTTTGTATGAATTTTTATGGTAACGTTTAAGTTGTGTATTATGATCATATTGTGGTTTTTGTTGTGCATGCTTTCTGTTTCTACTTGAACAAAGTTTTGTTTTTATCTTCTTGATTTTAATAACAGAAAAGTGACTTTTAAGCTAACTAATTTATACGAAGTATTATAGGAGCTTCCTATTTTATTTTTTAGCTAGTACTCGTATTATTGATCTGAAGCTAAAAATTTACAACTAAAAGCTACCTAAATGATTCCAAATACAGCCATAGACAAGTAGCAAAAGCCAATAAGTATAAATATTACAATTTCGTTATGAATATTGTTGTCCTACAAACTACAAAGGGTACCATTTCATTATTTCTTTTGTTGTTATAGTTGTTGGAAAGATTATATTGATGTCACTAGTACTCCTTAACTTATATAGGAAACAATTTGTAGCATACTAGCTAGAGCTATTAAGTATTTATAGATTGACGATTACTCTGTATTATTTATAGATTCTCGAGATTCATTATCAAAGATTTAAAAGTTTGACCCATATATTTGTAATGGGGCAAAAAATAAAGGACGTAGGAAGTATCAATTAATCATATTAGAAGTACGTTTAATTTGTACATAACAATATAATTATCACTTGTGTCAACTAGAACCCTTCTTCTTGACCCATTTGGGTTTGGCCTGAGCTTGAGGTAATTCCACCTTAAACTTAGGTACCCATTTGTGTCAACTAGTGATATAATGACGTTATAGTTGGGTTTAATGGGGGTTTGGTAGTAATCGCAACATCTTAAAATTTTTTGCGGTAGTAATTCACAACTTTTTTAATTTGCGGTAGTAATTTACAAAGCGGCATTAACTTGCGGTAGTAATTGACAAATTATCCTTATTCTTTTACTCACATAAATTAAACTTGATCATACAACTATAAAAGTACAATTAGGCTTGTGTTGAGCCCGTGAGAAAACCCACATGTGAGTGGAAGTGTTGCCTCACATTAATTGAGTGTATAAGTGAGAGTTTGCATTGGAATTTGGGGTGGCAATTCGGGTCAGCAGGTCGGATTCGACGTCAGATTTCGGGTTGTGCTTAGAAACCATCAAAAATAGTTTAAACTTAATATTATTACGATACATGAAATTTTGGTCAAATCGGGTCGAATTCGGGTTGTTCGGGTTGGATCAGGTTCGGGTTTCTCTCAATAACTTTAGGTCGGGTCAGGAATTGTCAGCCCTAATTGGAATGTGTATCTTACATTGAAGAAAGCAAAAAATTATGTCCACTTTATAAGGCTAAGGGACTACTTCCTTTTTGTTACGAAGTATATGATTTTGAAACCTCCTTAAACTTGTACAATGGTCACTCGCGACGGGTGTGATCTAGGCTCGAGGCCCATTTATTAGCGCTTATAAACTTGGTAAAAACATCAAGTTGTTTTTAACATTGGGTTGATTTTTTATTTATTTTTTGTAAAAAAAATAGTGTCATAGAAATGATAATCAATTACATAGTACTCTATTGTCAACATTAATTTGTTCTTGAATTTAAATGAGTAAAGAAACAAATATCATCACATCATCACTACTAGTCTGTTTTGATTTATTGAACTGAACTGATGGAGCATAACTAAATTGAATTAAATTGTTTACGAGAAAAATAAATTAAAAGCTGAACTACAGTGAAATAAACCCTCCTACCCTCCATATACAACAATACCAGCTAAACTTTAATACAAGTAGCCAATTTTGATGGTACTCAACATTTCCCCACAACAAGTAATAAAACACACAATCCAACAAGTGTCAATTACTTGTAAAACGAAGTATCTTCTTTTTGCATGGAACCAAGCAGCATGCATGAGCATGACGATTGACGAACCCCCAAAATACCTAAAAAATGTTGCATATTTATCTTCCCAAACACCATTCATTATTCATCATAATGCTTAAACCCCTTCATTCACTCTTTTAAACCCCAATCAATTCTCCACGCCACTTTCCCCATCTTCTTGCATTCTTCATCCCTCAAATTTCCATAAACTTTGTTGCACCATCATACATTCATACTCCATCTAACAACAAAAATGACCATAGTCAAACTCGACGACAACGACGACAAAAACGACGACGACATCGCAATTTCTATTCCCAACATCAAATTCCAAACAAATTCCCGACTCATCTAAATACTTCTCCTCACCCCTCCTATCCTCACCACTTTCTTCCACATCATTTTTCACTAACTTTATCGTGGAAAACGCCGACCAACCATCTTTCATACACCCATACCTTATAAAACTTTCTCACTCCTCACTTTCTCTCTCCTACTCATCAACCACCTCATCTTCCTCTTCCATCTCCCACTCTTTCTCCCCTGATCTCACCATCTCAACTCCTCAATCTTCCCGCCATTTTGTCTCCGCCTTCAGTGACCTCACTGTAACCCTAGATTTCCCCTCTTCTGATTTTCGATTCATTTTAGCTAGAGGATGTCCCTACATTACTCTAGAAGTTTCTAGAACTTTACCCCTCTCTTTTTCCACCAAATCCGCCATTAATTCTCTCTCTTCTTTAACCCCCAGAAAACAGAGAGTCGAGCTACAAAACAAGCAAATCTGGGTAATTTACTCTTCTTCTGATTTGAATCTCGAGAAAAAAGATGATACCCATTTTGTTAGTTCAGAATTGTTTTCTGGGGTTGTTAGAATTGCAATTTTACCAGATGAAAAAACCCAGAAAAATGAAGAAATTCTCGATTTATACAGTACTTGTTACCCTGTTAATGGAGAAGCAATTTTTGAAACCCCATTTAAGTTAGATTATAAATGGGAGAAAAAAGGGTGGGGAGATGAATTGTTATTGCTTGCTCATCCATTACATCTTAAGCTGATTTCTGCTTATAATTCTGGGATTAGGGTTCTTGATAATTTTAAGTAAAAATCAATTGATGGAGATTTAGTTGCTGTAATTGGAAATCAATGGAGTTTGAGGGTTAATAATGTTCCAATTTCATGGCACTCTAATCGAGGAATTTGTGAAGAAAATTACCCAGAAATTGCTAGTGCACTTTGGAAAGATGTTGGTGGTTTAAATTCATCCCCAATTTCAGCCACCAATTCTTATCATTATGCAACGCAGGTTGTTAAAATTGCTAGATTGGGTTTAATTGCGGAGGAAATTAATTGCATGGAGTTAATCCCAGCAATTAAGATGTTTTTAAGGGAATATATTGAGCCTTGGTTAGTTGGTAATTTTGAGAAAAATGGGTTTTTTTATGATGAAAAATGGGGTGGTATTGTTTCTGAATCAGCCGATTATGGGTTTTGTATGTACAATAATCATCATTTTACATTGGGTTATTTTGTGTTTAGTATTGCTGTTTTGGCAAAATTTGATGTTGAATGGGGTATGAAGTTTAAGGGTCATGCATATGCATTGGTTGCATCTTATATAAGTTTAGAGAAGAATAAGGAGAAATCTAAGTATACAAAACTTAGATCATTTGATCCTTATAAGTTACATTCATTGACAAATCCTTTACATGATGAGCATACTCGGAATTCCGAGATTCCGAGTGTTTCAATCAATGCTTATTACTCGGCTTCACTATTGGGTATGGTGTATGGTGATGATCATCTAGTGAGTGTTGGGTCGACACTAGCCTCGTTCGAGCTCGAGGCTGTTAAGACATGGTGGCATGTTAAGGAGGGTGGTGTGTACAATGGGGAGTTTTGTAACAAGAATAAGATGGTTGGTTTATGTTGGGAGTATAAGCTGTGGTTTACAGCAGCTGAGAATAAGGAGTGTAGGGTTGATATTCAGGTTCTTCCTATAATGCCTGTGTTATCAGAGATTTTATTTTCCGATATGATGTTGGGTTTGTTAGGGATGTTGTTGAGTGGGCGGCGCCGTCTTTGGCGAGGAAGGAAGCTACTGATGGTTGGAAGGGTTTCGTTTATGCATTGGAAGCATTATATGATCACAAGAATGCGTTGAAGAAGATCAGGGATTTGAAAGGTTTTCATGAAGGAAACTCGCTTTCGAATATGTTGTGGTGGGTTCATAATAGGATTGGGAAGAAGAATGTGTGTTGTAGGTTTAAGAAGGAAGCGAATGATTGTTGGTTTTGCACCTATTGCTGCTGATTTCATCTTGTTAATGGCTTAATGCTGCCCTATTTTTGCTTGAGCTCTTGCACTAGTCTCCGCTTGTTTAGTTTATTGAACTCTTGTGCTAGTTTTTGCTACCAAACCTATGGTCTTGTTCGGTAATTAACGGCTTGATGCCGTAAACTTAGTCTTTTGTAAGTTCAAGTTGCTTGAGCTATTTTTGGTCTTTGCTTGTTTAAGTTAATTGAGCTCTTGTATTAGTTTTTGCTACCACTGAGCACATTTTAGACTATGGCCTTGTTTGGTGGTAGCGGATAGTGTTTTGACTTTTGAATCGGTTGTTAAATCCAATTTCTATGTACGTAGTACTAATAATCTAGTGAAGAAGCTTGGTAAATTTGTCTCGTTTTTCATGAATTTGGGTATTTTCATTTTTCAGCAACTAGAGCAACAATCTACCTATATGGAAAGGTTATTTTTATGAGTATTGATAAATGAGCAACAAAGCTGGAATAGCTCAGTTGGTTAGAGCGTGTGGCTGTTAACCACAAGGTCGGAGGTTCGACCCCTCCTTCTAGCGATGTTTTTACAATACGTTTTGTTTTTGACAAATGTTTATTTCGAGATCGAATGAGGCCAAATTTGTAAACAACTTGACAGATGTTTTTATTTGGAGATCATATGAAGCCAAATTTAATAAACTGCTTAAGAGCAAGATTGCCTGCAATTTTACACAACACACACTCATATGGATATGAAGTATCTACAAATGCAGAATTTTGATTCCCTTGATCATGGCATTTGCTCATTGCTGTGTCGCGATTAATCCTTTGACTCTTGCCAATTCAATACTTAGAGCAAATTCAGTGAATAGTTTAGTGCCAAAGACCATATGTATTTCACCATAATTTTAATTTATAGGTGAGAACTTCAGTACTAATTCTATTTTTTATGAAATCTAACCAACAAGCTGGAATAGCTCAGTTGGTTAGAGCGTGTGGCTGTTAACCACAAGGTCGGAGGTTCGACCCCTCCTTCTAGCGCAACATTTTTAATTTATTTTTTATTTAAATTTCAAGGTCAAATTATTTAGGATACTGTTTTGGGTGTAAAGTTTAATGTGAATTTATTTTGAGCCGGAAGGAATATCCTGTGTATTAAAACTCGTCGAGTTTTTTGATACATTAGCAACATCCACCTTATCTTGGAGATCTCTGTGGTTGCAAATTACACATCTTACAGGCATAGATGTAAAACATTGCTGCTAGCTTGCTAGCAGCCAATATAAGTGTTGTAGTAAAAACTTGAAAGGGGCAATTTTAAAAAACACCCAAAATTACAATGTGTTTCTAAGGTAAAATGCACTTCCAAATGAGAGTATCTAAAAGTGTTCTACAGCTCTAAAATTATCTGATTTGAAGTTCAAGTCCTAGCAGCAGTTTGATCATTTTGATGGAGTCTTCTATAATGATCTGCCTTATTCTGCCTGAAAGCCCGGCATCCAATAATAAAAACTATAATGAGGACAACGAGGAGTACGACAATCCCCGGAAACAACCTTTTCCACAATACGGCGAGTTGGCTAACAAACCCCTCTGCACAAGTACTGCAGTAGTAGCACATTATTTTGGTGTCCCTATTCCAAACATCACAGTCGTGTTTTGTCAAAAAGTTTACAGTGCAGTTGGCAGGTTGGCGGCAGCAACCTTGCTGTGTAAAACATAAACAAAATTATTGTCAGGCTTGTTATAAGGAGTCACAAATGACAATGATGTAGACGTGTTTTTAATCATGAGTGTTATGAACACTGACACACCATACATCATCAAGTCTAAAGGATCCTAATGCAAATGGTCTAAGACGAGTTTTCATATGCTTAAGTTTATACATACATTGTCTTGGAACAAGCTGATTTTAAACAAGAAATTTTCTTTTAATCAACTACGAAGTACTACATTATTTAGGGGCAGGGTGAATTTAAGTTCATATTATTTTCACATCCTACGAACGTTAAAAATATAGTGTAACAAACCTTAAGATTGTTTGAAAAGAAGAAGTTATCCTTTAAGCCATGACAACAAATATCCTTGCGGATTAAGCACTTCCTGACTATGGACCAGTCAGCTATACCCATCGCTTGATCTTGGAACCAGAAAGTGAAGTCATTAAGATTGTGAGGCTTCCCAACATCAAGACGGACAGCACCTTTGGCAATAACAACAATCCAAAGCAGAACAGTAATCGTCACCACCAAAATGAGGATCAAATAGACGAGCAAGTAGAGCCACATAATGAAAGGGGAGCGGCTGCAACTCCCAATTAGTCCTAAGAATGATATGACCACAAGCACGATACCTATTCTAAGGCAAGGCGAACTCAGGAGAGAAAAGCAGATCATGTCCTTATGGGTGGCCAAGAATATCCTAAGGAATAAAAGGAAGAATCCAATTAGGAGAGTTATCAAATTTATGCAGGCTGTGATGCCATTGCTTCGACGTGCCATTGCAAGGGATCTCTTGAATTATAATCTGATAGTCGGAAAGAAATGGAAGTTGGAAAGGTTTGGGGAAGGAAATAAAGGTTTTTGTGGGTGTTTAGCAAAGAAAGGCGGTACCTAAATTATATTCAAGCAGGAGCTGGGGAAAGATACATTTAGCTAGGAAGGAATCTGTCATTGCATGGAATATTAGATGTTTTCAATACAAAGTCATGCAATGAATTCGCATATTTTCTTGTTCTTAATTTGATTTAGGGGTGACAATAGAGTAGGCATCCGAATTTAGTTAATGTAATGCCAACACCCAACCAACCCTGCCCCATTCAAAAATAAAGGCTGTAAAATAGAATTCTGTATTTAGCTATAACAATTGTTCATTCTATTTAATGACCAACTCCTCTTTAACCCATTTTTGGCAAGTAATGTCAAAAACAAAATCCAAAATTTTATGGCATTACATTTGCGATTTTCTCAATGCAGTGCATAATCAAAACAAAACAGAAATTGAAGATTATCAATCCATCATTTCAGATTCATACGAAATTGGGATCAGATGTAGATTCATTTTATAGAGAGCTTATCTTTGATGGATCTAATCAACAAACAACACCGACAATTACGAAAATCTTACATGAACATCACAGAGCAAGGGGAAGATTACATAAGTCTAGAAGCCAAATGAAAGACATATTATTTTGTAGAAAAGTTGGTTTCATAGTATGAGGTTAGTGAACATATAATATGCATTAGTATCTAACCGAAAATAAAATAAAATTCTAATGCATATTGATAGACTGATAAGTTTTTCTTAACTTTTTTCAATCTGAAAACATTGAGCACACACACCAAAGAACAATCTTTAAGACTCAAGCAACAATCTAACCGAAAATATATTACTGAAAGTAAAGAAGTCCTGAACATGCATACCTTTTAAGGATTCAGCTCTTCAAGACACACGTTGGGGGATTTTGGCAAGTGATTCCCGTATCTTCTCCTCGGAAAAGGACAGATCGACCAATTTTCCTTGCAAAAAGCTGTCATACGCTGGCAAGTCAAAGTGGCCATGTCCACACATTGCCATTAGAATCACTTTAGATTCTCCTGTCTCTTTGCAATGGAGAGCCTCCCTGATAACGGCTGCTAAGGCGTGGGTTGGTTCAGGTGCAGGGATCAGTCCTTCAGACCTTGCAAATTGTATAGCACCTGATGTATATCAAAGGAGGTTCAGATCATACTAAAGTTTCATTCAGTTGAGCCAAACAAATTCACTATCATGGAATTTCTTGCTAAGCCATTGCGTGCTAGCTAATTAACAGGAAGATTATCAGAAATACAAGCTTGAAGATTACAAGGGAGTAAGATTACCTTGGAAACATTCAGTTTGTGGAATAGCCACTGCTTCCATCAAACCCAATTCATATGCATGTGAAATCAATGGTGCCATACCATGGTAACGCAGTCCACCTACACAATCAAACCAACATTATAACAATACTGAGGTTAATAGGGGATTTCTGAAGTATATAGACAAGGAACAATGAGAGAATACCGGAATGGATAGGGTCTGGAATGAAGTCATGACCAAGAGTGTGCATCTTCAGCAACGGAGTCATCCCAGCAGTATCACCGTAATCATAAGTAAACACCCCTTTGGTCAAGGAAGGGCAAGCAGCAGGCTCAACAGCTCTTATGAGAGGATTCATTTTACCACTCAGTTTTTCCCTAATAAAAGGGAAACATAGCCCTCCAAAATTGGACCCTCCACCAGTACACCCAATTATCACATCAGGGGTCTCACCAAATGCTTCCATCTGTTTTATACATTCCTCGCCTATAATAGTCTGATGTAACAGGACATGGTTAAGCACACTTCCTAGACAGTATTTTGTATCAGGATTTGTTGCAGCAACCTCTACGGCTTCTGATATTGCTATTCCTAGACTGCCAGGGCTCAATGGATCTGATTGAAGGATTTTCCGGCCTGCCTCAGTTAAGTCAGATGGTGATGGATGAACCTTGGCACCCCAAGTCTGCATCATCAGTTTCCTATAAGGTTTCTGATCATACGACGCACGAACTTGCCACACCTGCAAAATTATCAGCACAGAACAGAATCATAGTGAATTGTGATAATATGCACATACAATAAGAAACATGCAAACCGAAAAAGGTACTCATATAGTCAATGCAAGAAAAGCTTTATGTTTGGGCACTCTTGTTTCAAGACACAGTCATTAATGCATAGAACAAGTTTTCTGCTTTATGCATCTATAAGAAAGCTTTAACTGACATAACTCGTGCACCAAAACTGAGGTTAAGAACATGAAAAAGAAAGGAACAAATTTCTCGAAAGAATATGAGAGCCTTTGATGATTTTCAAAAGGAAAAATATGCTACATAGAAGAACTAGAAAAACAAAACAAGTAGCCTAGCATGTATATGCTGAGAATAACCAAAAGTAAGCAATTTGTCATCATTTCTTCCTGGTAAAAGAAAGTTCAATCAAAGAGATCAGACCGAATAAGTGAAACAAAAGCTGAAATAACACACAAACAAGTAACTCTTACTTCGCATTCTAGGTTGAATATGCTGCAAGCAAAGGCAAGGGCACTACCCCATTGTCCAGCTCCAGTTTCAGTCACAATCTTTTTGACACCTGCCTGCGCGTTGTACCATGCTTGCGGTACAGAACTGTTAGGCTTATGTGATCCTGCAGGGCTAACACCTTCATACTTGTAATAAATCCTCGCAGGAGTTCCAAGGAGCTTCTCCAATCTCTTGGCTCTACATTCATTTATGAAGAACAAATTTTAATGTACATTCTTATATGGATTACAATTTACAAACATTACACAATCGAAACATATACAGAACCTGATTAGAGGAGTTGGTCTCCATAGACTATAAATATCAATAACCTCCTCCGGTATTTCAATGAATCTTTCATTGCTCACTTCCTGCTTGATCAACTCTTCAGGGAAGAGAGGTTCCAAATCTTCCGGTTTAACAGGCTCAAAAGTCCGAGGATTCAGTGGTGGGGCGGGTTTAACAGAAAGATCAGCAGTTATATTGTACCAATGTTTTGGGATTTCGATTCCTCTCGAATCAGCTTGTGCTCTTACTTTAAAACCAGTGGAAACCTTCACAAATTTCAATGGCTTAGTATTCAATGATGAATCCCTTAAGCCATGTTTATCACCTAAACAAAATGATTTATAGTGTCAGAATTTAACTAAAACAATTCTGCATGAAATGGTTTACAATTATTGCTACAAACTATCAAATTTTATATTCAAAACCAATCTAGATTCAACCCAGAAAAAATAACAAAGTTGCCTCATACTTCAATTTATTTCCAATTTAATGGTTACATTTATGATCTAGAAATTTTTAACATAAACCCAGATCACAAGAGACAGGGTTAGGCCTACCTCATGGCCCATAAACAAGTAACAATCTAAGTATGAAAACAATCCAGTAGTTTGACTATCTTATTGTAATGGTGCAAACTAACATTAACAGTATTAAATTGCCCAAATCTAGATAATTTGATCCAAAATCATGCAGTGGAAAGGTGTAATACTCCTTTGGTATCTAAATGTTTGTTCTTACTTTTTGAAACAAGGAATAACTTTTAGAAAGAAGGGAGTACTGTCAGACTAATAACACAGTAAAAACAAAATTGGCACTAAATGATCCAAACCCAGAAAAACCCAAAAACAATTAGTTAACATAAAGATTGCACCAAAAATATTGTAGAAAATTAGTAAAAATACAAGAAAATACAGAGAAAAAAGGAAGATTACCCTTGAAGTTGAAGCTTGGACAAACAGTGAGAGAAGAAGAAAGAAGAGCTTGAGTTGCCATTATTTTAGTTGAGTTTACTGAAATCAGTAAAACTTTGTACTATAGTAGTATAGTCTATAATATAATTATTATAATTTATAAACAAGAAAGGAAAGAAATTTAAGTTGTTTCGTTAGCATTAAATTAGAATTGTTGGACTTTTAAATGATTCATGTAATCTTGGTAGAAAACTACACATTCAACATTAAGCGCAGCCCATTAAGAAATGTGCCCACTTCATTAATGATTGGGTTTTTATTTTTAATGACGTTGTGACAAGTCTTGGTAGTTGGTTCTAGATTTCTAGTGATACTCTTTGCCTTCATTAGAAGAGAGGTGATAAATCGAGTCGTAATTCTAATATAGTTTAGGATAATCATTAATTTGGGTCACATATTTGGTGCTAAAATATCACAGAGTAGAAAATTGAATGCATAAGCTAGATAGTACCTTAAGTGCCTGGAGGTTATGGAGTTTGCTATTCAAGGAGTGATAAGGAGAGCGGCTCACGGTTTGGTTCAATCGACATTATATGCGGAGATAATGTCTGTCTTGAAGGTCTACGATGGGAAGCAAAGCGTTTACTACATGTTACAAATTTACAATTTATAATCTAATACGGTAAGTATTGTCTGAATCTTATAACTAAATTATATTGTGATGATGAATCAAATTTTTATTGGAAAAATAAGTTTTAGTATCAAAGGTAAATAGAGCTTATTATAAGAATGAAAGTAACCAAGTACGAGAAATATAGTTTAAAACACCACGCATACATGTTTTTTGTATACATTATTAATCAAACTCTATGCACAATTTTGACATTTTTACAAAAGATTACAAGTCAATCCCATTTACATTGTATCTTATGTGTATGCTTGAAGTTATACTTCATTATCAAAATCCCATCAATCCTCCTAACCAAAAAGCTCTCCACCAAAACATAACACCCAAACCTTTTCCATTTCATATTCTCTCTTCTCCTCCTTCCAATCTCTTCAACTCTCTCCACTCTCACATCATCTTCTTGATTTTCCATCCACCCCCTTTCCATTTGTATCCCTCTCATGGCATCGAACACCGCCAATCCCATCCCCAACCTCACCTTATTTCCATTGCCTGAATTGTTAGGCACTGTGAAACAAACAAATCCTAGCATAGGTTTCACTTCTATTGTGGCTTCCGAGCCATAGAGTAATACCTCTTCTCTTTTAACCATCGCGTCTATGACAATGGTGTCATCCTCTTCATTACCCCTATTTGGCTGCGAGTATATCTCTTCCCAATATTGCTCGAGAGTGATCTCATAGAACATCGATTTCTTCATATGTCGCCACAACTTTGCCTCTTCCCTACATTAAAGTAGCAATAACAATCATAAACAAGACTATGCATATAAATGTTGATGCATAAAGGCAGTCCAAAACTATAAACACCCAAATTTTGCTTATTGTTTGTTGCTTACCTAAGAAACAAGAAGGGGCTATACCATCGTCCTACAATAACTGCAGCATGTTGATTCTGAGGTGGCAGAGGATAAGATGGAGGAGGAGGAAGAGATGCTTGGACAGACTCATCAAGGCCTAATGCATCGTGTATTTTTCCTCGAATAGAACGATAAACTCTTACCTCCCACCCTTTTTTCCGTAAGAATCGTGGAGGAACTCCATCATAAGCTACAGACTTAGCATAGAAGCCACCACCATGGTAACGACGGATCTCAAACTGTTGGTATATGTCTCTGTAATCAAATGGCCTCGGTTTTATATCGTTTATAAAGTCAGAGTAGCAGCAGCATGAGCATATGTCTGACTTTTTTGAGCTTGTGCATGCTTTCCTAATAAACAAATAAACAATGATAGAATTAGGAAAATTATTAGATTAGAAGAAAGAATATACAAGGATTTGCTCCAAAGTACCAATATAGGATCCCCTTCACATGATTTAAGTTCAACTTTGTACTATACCATGATCAAATAATATAATAACTTAAGGAACTATTAATGCTTTTATAAGATAAATTATGTATAATCACCAATTCAGTATCAGATAACTTAGCCTCGAAAAGAAAGAGTTAGAGAGAGTACCCTTTGTGATGGCCTTTAGCGCGTATAATGTAGTACCTATGAGCAGACAGCGGCTCACCAACAACCGGGAGGAACCAAACCTTAGTGACAGTAGGATCTCTGATGTCTGACGAATGAACAATTGACAGCATCTTGTTCTGAGGGAAGGGTAAAGTCTTAACCCTCTTATAATCACAAACACCCCAACAGTAAGTATCCTGTTCTTCTGTTAAATCATCAGTAATAACTAACACACCAGTATTTGGTGCATAATCTGGTGGCCTAATAGACAAGGAGCTTGGGTCTTTCCTGTATAATGACAGACCCCTTGTAACATACATTATTCTATGATCAAATATACTCTTAACAACTTTGATTTCTTTGTGATTTGTGAATTTAATTTCTTAATCTTATTGTATATGGGTTTATGCATATATATACAAGTATAGTCCACATTTTTTAAGTATCATATCAACTTTAAATTGAGTGGTGGTTTTTCAGTACTTTAATGTAGAATGATGTGGAGCTTTACTCTGTTTTTCATGCAAAGTGATTTCAATTATTGAATTTGTTAAATTTTTAGGTGAAGGAAGTATTATTCCTTACAGATGAAGATATAAAGATAGTGCATCTTTAAAGCTGAAAGCAGTCATTGTTTTTTCTTTTATGTACCTTAGTGGGTCATACTATATTTTAGTACAAGCTGAAAGAGTGGTGTAAAGAAAGCAAAATAAGACAAACCCAAAAATCTGCATGCATATCCTGTAGTGACCAATAGTTTCATCCTCGGAAAAAAGCTGAAATTAAAATTTTAAAATAATAAGCCACACTTGACTCATTGCTTAAGCCGTTAAGATAACATGACAACTAATTCTAGATAGAGAGGTAGGATGTTACTTACAGCAAGGTCTATAATAACACCTCGAACTCTGGCTAAAAGTAGAAATATTAAAGATGTAACACATACTAATACGAAGGGCTAGCAGGCCATAAATTCCCGAATTAAGGCCATTTTAAGAAACATGTATTACTTGCAATTATTGTAAAATAACAAAATTAATACCACTAAGTCTTCATTCCTTTATAAAAGTGGTACAAGAGAATCAGATTCTTATGACAAAATACTCTGGAATGATACAAGTATCTGAATTCTCAGAAGGTGAATGCAGTATGTACATATCAAAACTTTGGTCAGTATATGAACCATCAGAATGTGAATGCAGTAGATACAACAACAACATCAGCAGGAAATTTGATAGCAGAACATGATATCATAAAGTTTATACTGAGAGTAATTCAGCCGAAATCATGACAGTCAGTGAATTTCAATCAGTGCCCTGTAATCAGTCAGTTACCTTCCTTTTCCTGTGAGAGAAGATTAAAATTTCAGCTTAAGAAATGCTTTAATGATTCCCATCATCTCACTCCCTGGAAAACGGCCCAGACAACCCCTTGCAGCAGCAATCTCGCTCAATTCAGAAACCGAATCACCACAGAAAGCCTTCACTGAGGCTCTTATTTCATCATCACATATGCACTCTTCCGCTAGATCTTCCCCAGCAGTCACAGTTGGAAGAGGAAAAGGTTCAAGGGAAGTTTCCATCAGGATTGATTCACCGCCTATTGCACCCACAAAGTCTCTCAATCGACACAGTGCAAAAGGAACAGGTTCAAAGCTGTGGTCCCCATATTCGACTGGTGTAGAGTGGTCACCCGTTACACAGAGGAAGTATTCAAACTTTCCTGTCGATTCAGCTTGCCAAAGGAGTTTAGCTAGCTGCCTTATAGCTCTATCAACAGCTTCTAATCCTTTGACTTTTAAAACACTTGCTTTATCATGGCCTGCATCATCTATCGCCTGCAAGAATAAATCAGCTTGACATCACAAGAGAATATGAAAAATGGACTTGGAAAAAGTTGTCATGAATATGATCAAACCATCAAATACACTATGCTATCTCAAATGGTGGAAACTCTAAAACTTAAGTAAAATTTGTGCTTCAGAAATCCTTCACAAAAAAATAAGCAAATACCAATCACAAAAGCTAAAAAGAGCTGATTAAAGGAAAAAAGAAAAGGATCGAAAATTTTCAGCAAATCTGCACAAACATATTGAAAAATGATACATGTGTGGAACTGATGCAAAAAAAACTGAATACAGGGAGTTCTTCTTGCCCTTGCTCTAGTTTGAAGTGTCAAACAGTCCAAAGTTTACATTTTATCCAGGTGTCCAAGGGTGGGAACCAGGTTTGGTAGAAGCTAAAGGTACTAAGTATCGAAGTAGGGAATATATCAACGTTTAGAAGTTGAATACCTTGATGTGCAGAAACCCAAAATCGTATCCATCAGAATGGCCAGGCTTGTGATCATCCTCCCCAGGAACAAAAACATTTGGGCAAGAGTTTAAAGGAGCTGAAAGAGCCCTGGCTATTGCAGTTGCTTTGGAAGTTAGCAGGGTTCGATAGTCTCCTGTTGCTCCAGGAGCTTCAAGAATATCAATGCCAAGAGACATCCCAAGACCAGCAATGATCTTAGTAGGAGCAACCATGCACGGTCGTAGGTTGTGTTGCTTTTCAAATGGTGGTACCTGCAATAAGTGAAGTCTAAGAAAAGACACTGGATGAAAACAGAAACAATAAACAAACATAATAACATTCAAAGCTAAAATATCCAACTTACTAAAGAAATTGACTAATATAATCTTTTTCCATGAGGCAATTTTAGAACTTTTTGTACATTCATAATTATTTCCTTCTAATAGTTTGAATTTTAATTTCAATGAACTATGAAACTAGACTAAACCACGTGACAGGTTATATGGCTTATACGACACAAACATGACAAACTAGTGAAAAGGCATGGATCATAGTTAAAACCAGATATGGCATAGAGCAATAAAATGATCATGCAATTAGCTAATTACACAAGTTTTAACTGTACAAGATTGGGAACTCGAGTAGGGAGATGAGTCCATTTCCCAAGGATCACAAAATAAGTCCAGTCCATATAATATTACACCAACTTATTCTCTATGAGGCACACATGAGCAAAACGATAGTATAGGAAGTGGAGTAAGGAAGAACAGACCTCAATTCGGATACCACAACCTCGTAACAAGACAAGATTAGCAATGCTCTTTCCCTCTGCTACTCTCTTTGCATTCACAGGGTGCGACACAAGTATACGTGATATCTCCTTGGATAATTCATTCACAACAGCAGCTGTGTGTTTTGCTTCCTCAGTATCATCCAAGGGCTTGGCTTGTAGAAGTAAGCGGTTATCCTTCAAGGGGTCAGTTCCTGAAATATTCCCGCTTAACTTGGGTCCCTTCACTACCACTCCACATCTATGCTCTGTGGCATACCTGCACAAAACAACACCATATATTGCAAAGTTTATCATCGAAGTTTTAGCGTAAACCATATAAATCATCGACATGATAAACTACAACTCTGAATATCAATCACAGGAATACATGGGAATTTTCAAGTTTTTAAAATCAAGTAGCTAAAACAATAAATGTTCACTGAATAACAGGGCTTCACATAGTTGATCAATTGATTTCATGCAGCATAGGTCCAAAAAATGATATCGTTCACAATGCGGATGAAACCCTGAGAAAAATATAAGATTGAACTGAAATGAGAAGCATATGCACCTGACTCTAACTTCATACTCAGGATAGGATGGCAATTTCATCCCATCCAGAGAAGCACAGAGAATAGGCCCCTCTTCTTCAAAATGCCGATCAGCCCTTCTACTAGTGACAATGCCTGTTTTCTCATCCAAGGTTGCAAAATTTGACTGAATCAAAACAAAATGGCATTATAAAGGCACCAATACATATAGAAATCATAAATATGCGCATGCCATGCATATACTCCATATCAAGTACAGTTATTCAGTAATTTTACAACCAAACATTGTCAATTACTCCTATAATCTAATCAAACTGTGACAAAAACAACTTAACAAAAAGTGATCATAGTGATAGTTTTCAAATAAAAATTAGAGAATTGCTACCTTGAATGCAATATCCCCTGGTGACATGGCCAACCCAGCACCCATGGACTCAAATGCACCTCTTCCGCGGTAATACACCCTTGGATTATAACCCAACAAAGAAAGATGGGCAGTGTCACTCCCACAACCTAAGCCAGGTTCAACAGGGTCCATAAGCCCATTAACTCCCGCTGAAGCCAAAGCATCCAGATTGGGCACTCTAGCCACTTCCAATGGAGTCTTAAACCCGAATTTCGGGATAGATACATCACCCAAGCCATCAGTCAGCACAAATGCTACTCTTCTCTTAGGATTCTCAGCCGGAGCCATACTTCTCAGGTATATCTTTAAAAGTCCCTGAACATATGATCAATCACGCCCAACAAAAATTAACTAGAGGGTTTCATTTCAGTCTAATATCCAGCAAAGAGTACCAAGATTAAGCTAATCATCTTACACTATTTCAACTAAACAAAAATGCTAACATTAACCAAGTTCATAATATACCAACACCCCCAAAACATACTCCCTCCGTCCCTTCTAGATAACAATAGTCGCATTGATAGTGTAATTTGAACTAGTAACGCGACAACTAAATCCAAACAACATGGGTACATTGTTCCATAACTATGCAACTCAAACTTAAAACCCTATACAAGAAAATTCTCAGATTATACTTGATTAGGATCTGCATGCACAAATTATAACTAGAAAAATATCTAACAATTCCACAATTTAAGTCAAAAATCACATCATGGTTACAATTTTCCAGAAAAATGGCAAAATCCAGTTATAATTACCACAATCACAATCAGAAAGTCTCAAAATTTCATCGCATATGGAATTAATCCAAATTCCATCAAACCCATTTCAAAAGATAGAATTAATCAAAAATCAGATCCTAGAAACAAAGCACAATAATCTTATAAAACTATAATCAATATTAATCCACAATGTCTATTTTAAAGATAAAATTTCCAAAAATGAACAACAAAATTAAGATTTGATATATTGAAATAGAAACTTACCAGTAAAAATATAATCTTTAGAATTGAAACTACAAAACTAAAGCACAGATTATGAAGAGCTTAAATCAAATCTTATGAGAAATTGTTTCACTTTCTTTTTCTAAAGTGGGAAGCCATGGAAATTGGAATTGATTCTATTCTCTGTATACGTGTGAATTTTAAATTCAATAAATTATTATGGACTGGCTTATTTCTCGAATCAAATTGCCAATTTATAATGGGCTTTTTTCTAAGACTAATTTCAGTTTTTTTTAAGGGTTTCGTGCACATATTCTTAGGTGTAACCTCCTACAACCTAGAGGTAGGTGCACTTGCTCAAAACGCAGGAGAATCAATGTGAAACGCAGTATCTATTTAGTGTTCTCTAATGTCTTTCTTTCCGCTCACGTTTTTTAGTTTCCTTTTTAAAAAAATTTGGTTTCTTCTTTTCCAATTCTCTCTCTTCTCCTATATTTCCTAATTTTCATCAAAGTTTTCCATAAAAAATTTCATTACTATAGTTTGTTCTCTGTTTTTTTCTGGAAAAATTATTCTATGTTTTTTCTCCTTCTTTAATTGCTTTTTTCTCTGTTTTTTTGGAAAAATTATCCTCTGTTTTGCGATTGCATCTGTTTCGATTGGATAAATATGGAATTGGTTGTTCTCGACGAAGACATCGTCAATGCAGGTTAGTTGCTTGATTTTGCAATTTGTAATTAGATTTTTTTTGTTAGTTTCAATTGTAATTGTGTTTTGTATGATTTTAGGTTAGCTGCGATTAGTTTCGATTGATTAGTTATTCAATTTCATCTGATTTTTGGTTATGTTCGATCAATTTGATGTATTATGTATAAATTTCGATTTCTTATGAGCTGATTAATCAATTTTGATTGATTAGGTTTTATACGGTTTTCTTAATTATTATGAATTGAATTTTATGTGATTTTCTGCATTTTTTCAATCAATTTTACGTATATATTTTTATGCTTTATATTAATTTTATAGATTATGTCTTGATTTACTGAAATTGATCGTATAATTTTGATGAATGTGATATTTTTGATGAATTAATAATAAAATCAATTGATTTTTGTTCGTATAATTATGTCTTGATTTTGCGCTAATCTTGATTTTTGTGTGATTACTGTGATTAATTGTTGCTTATTGCGTGCTGCAATTGTTTGTTGTTACGATTTTCGTAATTTATAATTTATTCTGAATATTGTCTCTTAACTAATGAACATTCCATTTATAATTATGAAGCTATGAACATTTTTTATTACACATTAACTTTTATTCTTAAATAATGAACACTACATTTAAAAATTATGAACTTATAAACATTGTTTATTAAATAATGAACATTGTCTATTAAATGATGATAATTGAGTCTTAAATAATGAACATTACATTTGATATTGAATATTTTATTTGTATTCTTTTAGGTGTCTAATGAATATTCTTTACATTTTTATGAATTTACTTATTATACATTATGAATATTTAGTGTTATTTATTTCAGATACTCCAGTTGAAACTATATACACAGAAGCTAAAGAATCTGAATTAATGAGGAAAACAATAACTAGTGATGATGAAGCATATAATTTGTACAATGATTATGCTTTTAAGATTGGTTTTAGTATAAGGAAGGGAAATGTAAGAACAGTTGGTAAGACTTCTGTTTAGCGAAGTAGGAGATATGTATGTTCATGTGCTGGTTTGAAGAATGACTCTAAGAGGCATGTGAGGAAGTTTGAGAAGTTAGATTTTCGTACAAATTGTGGCGCTTTTGTGGAGTTTATTATTGATCCAGGTGTATGGACTGTTGTGGATCATCAGATGGAACATAATCATCCTTTTATACCAGTTGACAAAAGACATTTGTTAAGGTCTCAAAGAAATGTGAGTAAAGAGCAATTGAAGGTCATAAGTGTAATGAAGGCAAGTGGTGTTAGGGTAACTGATTCACTAGGTCTTTTGTCCAAAGAAGTTGGTGGTTCGCCGAATCTTGGGTGTACTCGAAAGGATATATACAATGCTTTGACTACTGAAAAGGCCAATAGACTTGATGGCTCGGATTGTAATCAATTGATCAAGTATTTTGCTCAAAGGCAAGCAAAGGAAGCTGATTTCTATTATGAGTTTGAGGTAGATGAAGGAAATTCCCTTACTTGTGTTTTTTGGAGAGATGGAAGAATGAAAAGGGATTATGAACACTTTGGTGATTTGATGGTTTTTGACACTACTTATAGAACAAACAAGTATGGCATGAGGCCCCTTTTGTTGGTATGAATCACCATTGTAACAATGTCATGTTTGGGATGGGATTTGTTCTAGATGAGAAAACAAGCAGTTTCATATGGTTGTTTGAGTCTTTCATGAGATCAATGGGTGGTGGGCGTCATCCGATTACTATAATGACAGACCAAGCACCTTCTATTGCAGATGGTATAAGAGAAGTTTTCCCAAATTCTAGACATCGTCTGTGTACATGGCATCTTACGGAGAACTCAAAAACAAATATCGGTAAATTCAGAGTTTTGAAGGGGTTCACTGATCTTTTTGATTATCTGCTCAAGTACTATGAAACTACTGCTGAATTCGAACATTATTGGCCAAGGTACTTCATTATGAACTTTCTTTATGAAACAATGAATTTATTACATTAAAACATGAACCTATGTTTTAATTTAATTATCTTTAATTTTGTTGTTGCTCATTGTTATTTATGAACATGTTTATTATTATTTATGATCACATTTAGATATTTTATGCATTTATAAGTTTATTTTATGAATTTGTGTTTTTATGAATTTGTTGTTATAGTATGAACTTGTGTACTGGTTATTTTGTGTGTTGTTATTCTGGTACATCATAATGAACTTTCTATATGAAACATTGAATTTATGATTTAAAATCATGAACATATGTTTTAATATAATTATCTTTAATTTTGTTGTTGCTCATTGTTATTTATATGAACATGTTTATCATTGTATATGATCATAATTAGATATTTTAGGAATTTATAGGTTTATTTTATGAATATGTGTTTTTATGAATTTGTTGGTTTAGTATGAACCTGTATACTGGTTGTTTTGTTTGTTGTTATTCTTATGAACGTCATAAACATTTTTATGAACATATATAAATATATTATGAACATAAATATGTAATATATGAATATAATGTTTATTAAAGTGAACTTTCTTATGCTAGGATGATGAACAAGTACAATTGTAATGATAATGATTGGTTAAATCATTTGTACTCGATCAAAGAAAGATGGTGTCCAGCCTATTCTAAAGAATATTTTTCCGGAGGAGTTTTGAGTTCCCAAAGGAGTGAAACCACAAACCGTTCGGTTTCTCATAGATTGAGGAAGACGGATGGGTTGTGTGATTTTTACAAGACTTTTCTTGATGTTGTGGCTGAGTGGAGGAGTAAGGAAAGTAAGTAGGACTTTCGGTTTTTGAGAGGTAATCGTCATTTGGCGGTTGCTAATGTAAGTCTTCTTATTCATGCTAGAGAGGTTTATACAATTTCGGTTTATATTGTCTTTGAAGATCAATTTGCAAAAGCTATTTCTTGTTCTCAAGAGAGAAAGTATGAAAATGATGAGACAATAAATTACTTGGTATGGAGGCCTAATAAGGATATTATTAGGCATGAGGTTGTTTTAAATAAATTCACTAGGGTAATCAATTGTACATGTAAGTATTGGAGTGAAATGGGTTTATTGTGTTCACATTCCCTTCGTATTTACAACATTCATTGTGTTCAAAAGATACCCGAAGAATACATAGTTAAGAGATGGACCAAAACCGCGATGTGTAGTCATGTGGTTGATGAAGATGTTGTTCAAGAGAATGTGATTTCTTCTTCTATTTGGAGAGCTCATATGTTAAGAAAGTTTATTCAACTTGTTACATCTTGCCAAGATCACCTTGAAGCACGAGCTGAAATTGAATATACATTTGAAATGTTAAGGGAGAAGGTTGAGAGTGTTAGGGGGGCAATTGATTTTGATGAGGAAGAAGAGGTTCAAGAGGTTGAAAAGGATGCACAACCTATTCAAAATCCGAAAGTAATTAGGAAAAAGGGTGAAAGGAATGATAGGCCAAAGAGCACTATTGAAAAAGCTTGTAATAAGGCCAAGGGGTGGAAGAAAAAAGTAGATAAATACAAGGACGAAGTTAAAGCTACTGCTCAAAAGGTTTTTCATGTACTTTTATGATTTTTTTGTGTAGTTCAGTGAATATTTTTGTATGGGATATGAACATATCTATATTTGTGTTTTATATTGCAGGTTTTAGATGATGATGGTGATCCTTTGACTTATTCACACCCAACAACAAAAGATTCAAGTCTTAATGTCCTTCCAAAACAGATGAATGGGCAATCATCAATGGTAATTTTTAAAATACTTTCAATTATATTAGTATTCTATTATTTTTGTTTTTGAAAGAATAGTATTCTATTATTAATGTTTTATAATATTTTTAGGGTGTTCAAGGTGCCAGTAAAAAGAGAAAAGTACCAGCAAATGATGCTCACACTTCATCAAGGGAAAATACTTACAATTCACAGGTAATCATTTATTTGAATTTTATGCTTAATTATATGAATTTTATGCTACAGAACCTGAACATTTATTTTACAGCGTATTGGACAACAATCTTCAAAGAATAACACTAATACCTCAACTAATGCTTCTCAGACTTAATTCTCAAAATTAATTATTTATGTGAACTTAAAGTTTATTAATATGAATTTTATTCAATACCATTTGATCATTTTTTTTAATTTACAGGGTAATGGACGACAACCCTCAAAGAAAAACACTAATACGAGTAAACCTTCTTCATCAAGTCAATTTGGATATCAAGCTAAAAAAAGGAAGTTTTCATTATGAGAACAGCAAATGGTATCAGGTAAATCTGAACAACCTAGCTACGTTTATGAACATTTGCTTTTTATTTTTGAGCTTATGTGTTTTTGTAATTGTTTTTTATTTTATCTCTTTTTTTTTAGTATTTTGATGTTGGGCGCAATGCTACAAATGAAGGGAGTGAAGTTGGTGGATCTTCAAATGTTTCACAATATAATGAAATGTTATCCATGTTTGATAAGACAATCAATGTTTAGATTTTTTAATAATTGACAATTTATTCAATTGCCTAAAAGTTGTAACAAAACAAATTATTACTTATTTTCATTTTATAAATGTTTTTGATTTCCAAGAATTAATTTACTGATTTTTTACAAGAAAGATGATCAATTAGCATTATATAAGTGATCTACCAATATATAATAATGAGAGAAATTTCAAATTTAAATGCAAAATATAATGCAAACTGATGTTTCAAGTCATAAAAGGAATCCACAACTATTAAAGTAAGTTGTCTTTGCAAAGTTATTAACTATAAAAATTAATTTGATTCTTCCATCCTTCGTCTTGCAGCCATCTTTATTCTGTATGCTTCTCTGTTGGTATTGCTTAGTAATATCTTAGCACAATACTTCACTCTTAACTTTCTGATTTGACCAATCTGGAAAAACGTATGAACATAGATATTAAAATATGAACAAACACTCTATATAAATGAACATAGTTGTAAATTGAATTTTAAAGGAGTTGAAACCTTACATTATCAGCTTTCAGATCACAAACCCATTCTACTGAAGGTTCTGATGTGTATGTTTCCATATGCTTCAACAAATAAACACCACAATTCTTATGGTCCCAATTTCTCCTCCAATTCATTTTTATCAAGTTAGGCTTGAAAGTCCAGTTGTTTTTCATTGTAATTTTGGCTTTTCAAAAACCCTATAAAAGCTTCAAGATAATTTTGAAAATACACATTCAATAGTTAGTTATAAGGAAATGAACATTAGAAATAAATTAGTGAAATCCACAAAAAGTTCAAATGAAAAAAGATGAGTATTTAATATTTACCATTTTTATGGGAGAGGTACCGTATTTGTCTTTTGCTTTCATATTCATGGGAAGCTTTCTGTTATCAATCATATCAACAGTGGCATTATACATGTTGAAGCAAACCAAGTAGAAGTGGTTAATTGCTGACACTGGGAAAAAGAATTGTTTGACTTCTTTTATTTTTTTGATACCGCTGTTTTTCATTTCAATTTGAAGTCTGGAAATGAATTTTGAAATTCTTTTTTTCGTGTCACCCTCTTTCTTAACAATGTGGTCTGTGCACACTATCACCTGCATATAAATAAAAAACATATATAAATAAGTACCTATATATGAACTTTTAATAAAATATCAATGAACTTCTAGTTCTAATATATAAACTTATAATAAAATATTAAAGAACATCAAATATATATGAACGCTTAATAAAATATTAATGAACTTCTAGTTCTAATATATGAACTTACATAAGGAATTGTGCTAAAGTAAATGTTGTTTTTTCGACACTTGTAATTTAAAATTGTAGCCCAAGCATCAATAATGGAATTGTCAATTTCTTCATCTGTGCCTAGTGTCTTCATTTGAGATCTGTTAATACTAGTTTCTCCATCAAAGTACATCACCTCACTTCACACGCAATAAACAAACAAAACAATCCATTTTAAAAAAATGAACAATAAAAATGAACAAAACATATTATTTTATGAACAAGTAATATAATAATGAGCAACTTACTTGTTAGGACCATCATTGAATGCATAGTCAGAAATTGTTGCATTCATTGCATTCACATCCTTGAATAAATCTTTGTATTTTACCATGAATGGTGATTTGAGACAAGCAGGCAAATTGTGAACTTGTCTTATAGGTCGTTTGCCAATTTCAATTTCACTACATAAAATAACATTGTTAGTTTATAAAAGGTCAAAATTATGTGAATGAGTTTTTTTTTTTTTTTTTTTTTTATTCACCTTGTTGTTTTGTCCTTTGACACATTTCTGCAAAACACAAATAATAAGTAAAAGTGATCAATATGTGAATATAAATGAACAATTGTTTAATATAAATGAACATAAGTTTTTTCCATTTTTTTACCCTGGATTTTTCGATTCTCCTTTAGATCTGTCAATAGATGAACATAATATAAAACAAAATGAATATCAAACAATAATAGATGAATATATATAGAAAAACAATATTTTCATAATATAATTTATTAGTTTCATAGAAAATATAATAATTTTCGATGTCCAAAAAATTTACATTACGTTTTCTAGTTTGTTCATCCAAAAAATTAACATTAGTTTTCTCTTTACATTACATAGACTACCTTAGCTAGTTATTACAAAATATATATCATAGTTAGGAGTCACATTACCCTGCATATTGAAATTCTGGATTCAATGGGTTGTTCAAAATGTCCTCAAATGTAGGGTCTTGAGTTTTGAACATATGATCAAATTCCGATGCTTCAATCACCGGTTGCTCCTGCTCCACACCTACACTACTTAACCCTCCCATACCTAGCCCGAGGTTCAAATCAATGTTTTGTCCAATTTGTGTCTCAGTTGGATGAACCATTGGACTAGGAGTTTGTTCTTTGTCGATCCCTAAATTCCAAGCATTTTGTGGATCGAATGACTCTCTTACTTTCTTCCCCTTTGCCTCTTCTTTTTCTCTTGCTTTCTTTTCAGCTTGTACTTTCTCCAAATACTCCTTTTCAACCTTATCTAAAGCATTCAAGAAAGAATTTGTTCCAAATAATTCTTCATCTTGACTCAAAATTGAAGGATTTGAAGGATCCTTAAATTTCTTTTGCATATAATCTCCCACTGTTTTGTAAAGAAGATTATTTGGGAAAAGCTCTTCAGCATGCTTTATCATTTCACATAATTTTTCACAATTCCCTTCCATAGTTCTGACCACACTAATAAACTCTTCCATAAATTCCTCCTACAGAATGAACATACATAACAGACATTATGAATATAATGCCTTCAAATATGAAATTAAAATATAAAGAAATAAAGATAATATCATTATGAAATATACGCATTAAAAAGTGAATATACAAATAAAATAAAGTGAACTTAATCATGCAAAGTATGAACATATGCATAAGTTCAATGAAGATAGACCAAAACATATCAATGAAATATGACCAAACTAGATTAAAAATAAGCATTCAAAAACAGATCAATGAAGATAGACCAAAACATATCAATGAAGGAGAGCACTCTCATCCAATTGGTCAAACAGAAGGTTGAGGAGGGCCAGGTGTTTGATCTACTAAACGAATGCACTGAGGAAACAAGGCAAAATGCTGAAGACGTTGAGAAGATTATAAAAATTGCATTGTGGTGTTTGCATACAGAGCCAACTCGACGTCCTGTCATGTCAATGGTGGTGAAACTATTGGAAGGACAGGGAGGTGCAATAGCTCTAGAGGCTATTACTGACTATTCCTGTGCAATTTTGAACACAGATGGACACCCGTCAATTCAGCCAATAACACCAACAATACTAATGTCTACTAGCATTAAACAAATAGGTGGCACCAAGTGCTTAGAAAAATGAAATATTGTAACTAATACCAAACAAGATTAAAAATAAGCATTCAAAAACAGATCAATGAAGATAGACCAAAACATATCAATGAAGATAGACGAAACAGAACAATGACTAAATCAGCCAAAGCCAAAGAAATAGGTTTGTAAAACTATACATAACTTAGATCAAACCAAATATGAACATTATACATAAAAATAATAAACATTCAATAATATAGGTAAATTTTCTAATCAAACCTTGGCCATTGGTATATTAGTACATTCTTCTTGTGTTGTTTTCCTTTTGATTTTAACTCCAGGCAAAATATTACCCAATCCAACTCCATGGCTCTCCAACTTCATCCTTTCGACCACCATATCCTTTGTCCATACAGATATGATAGGAGGAGTTCTTGGTGGCATGATGCTTTTCTTTTGAATGCGATCAAAGTAAAACAACTGGAAAAAAAAATATAGAAAAAAAAATCATCAATTAGCATATATAATAGAATGAATGTAAAGTTAAAAAATGAATATATAAATTACATAAAGTGAACATATGCATATAGAAAGTGAAAATAAGTTGTATTGAATTTATAGGCTCATGTTTATATGCATTACTTGTATACAAAATCTGAACATACCAATCAATGAACATACCAAAATATGAACATGAATATACGCATGAACATATCCATTCCAAATATGAATATATGTATACAAAATATGAACATGAATATTCTCCATGAACATGAACATACAAAATATGAACATACCTATCAATGAACATGAACATAACCATTCAAATAATGAATATACGCATAAAAAATAATGAATATACGCATAAAAATAATGAATATAATAAAAATATGAACATAGTATATATGGAAATGAAAATAATGGCATATACCAGAAGAAAAGGCAAAGGTCCTTTGTAAAACCCTTTTGGATTCAATTTCCAAGAACTGCTTGTATCCATTAAGCTATCAAGGACATACTTGCACCAATTGTATTACTTGATTTCAAACACATTCTTAATTGAGAACAGAAACTTGTAGTGCAAGTGTATGCTTTGGCTGCTTTTCATGAAGCAATTTACAGCCAACACAATGAAATCGATAATGAAGATTTCATCAAATTCACCATTGTTCACTTTTGCAGGTTCTGTGTTCATTTCCAGTTTCCTTTTGTTCATCTTTGCTTCCATGATTTCCATCTTTTTCTCTTTTTCTTCCTCAGACTCATATTTCTTCAGAACATTGTGTGTTTTAGGGCTACCAGACACAACACCTCAATCTTTCCTCCATCTAGTCAAAGGAGTCTCTTCTTGTTCCTCATCTTCTACCTCCTTCACTTCTTTCTCCCCTCTCGGGATTCCATACACAACTTCAACATCTTCTTCACAAACAACAATAGATTTGTTGTACGGAAGATAAAGTGTGCGGCTATTCTCTTCGAAACAATGCATAAGCCAAGCAGAAAATGATTGGTCATTTTGTGGAAGATTTACATCGAGTAAAGCTCCAAATCCCATGTCAATAATTGCTTGCTTTTGAGAAGGGCTCAAATTTGATACAAATGTCATGAATTTGAAATGCCCAACCCTCACTTGCAACTTACCATAATCATCCAAATCTTCAGCATCAGCAAGTTTTACCACCTCATGTACATCTTCATTTGCATCTCTCTTTCTTTTTTTATGTGCTTTCTCATTTTTTACACCATCAACTTTCTCACTTTGTTTCCCCTTCTCCACCTTAACTTTTTCAGTTTTTAGAGTTTCCTTTTCTTTCACACCTCCATCTTTCTCATTGTTTTTTTGTGTCTTTGAGTTTTGCTTGTTCTGTTGATCTTTAGCTGTACTCTTGCTTGAGGAGGCTTCCGAACAGTTGTTTGATGATTTATTTTTTGTTACAATATGCTTCACCCTAATAGAATAAATGTAAAATTTAAAAAAATGAATATATAATTTATATAAAGTGAACATATGCATATAGAAAGTGAAAATAAGTTGTATTGAAAGTATAGGCTCATGTTTATATGCATTACTTGTAAGGTGAACATATGAACATATGCTATTTCAAATGTGAACATAAACATTCAAAATATGAACATACCAATCAATGAACATGAACATAGCCACTCAAAAAATGAATATAAGTATACAAATAATGAATATATGCATATAAATAATGAATATAAGCATTGCTTCCTTTGGATTATGCATTTTAAAATGTGAACATGCAACATGCTGTGAATATAGTGTTCTCAAACATGAACATGAAACATGCTGTGAATAAGTTGCTACCCTTTTTCCCGCTCTTTTATCCTACACCCCACAACTCCTAATCCCACACCATTCCACTAACTCACCAACACTCCCCTGTTCCATACTTCAAAAAATGAATATATGTATAAAACAAATGAATATACGCATAAAAATAATGAATATCCCTTTAACATAACTGAATATGAATATATATATATTTACAATGTGAACATAAGCATTTCATACCTTTTTTTTTGGTAACTCTGTTGCTTTTGATTGAACCTTTTGTGCTTCTTTAGAAGGTTTTTCTGGTTGTTTTTCCCCTTCTTTTCTTGCATCTTTTGATCGTTCTTTATGGTTGTTTTTCTCCTTATTTTGGTGGTTCGACTTCATCGTTAACTCTGAGAAAAAATTGTGTAAAACAGTGAGTTTATGAGGTAACTTCATTTCTTTAAATCTATCAAATTCATTTGATGAAGGGTCAACATGCATTTGAATCTTAACCTACCAGTCTTTGTGGAGAGGTTATACATAATTTCTAGTAAAAATATAAAACAAGGAGTGATCACATAACTACTAAAACATGCAACAACAAAGTGATATTGGACATTTGATTGGTGGATACTGATGTTTTGGTAGGGATTTTGAAGAGTTTGTAGCCAATGAAAGACAAAGATCGAGAAGCACATTCATGGGCATATTTTATATGAGTAACTTGTTCTTAATCTTTCCGATTCTGACATGTACTATAATGTGCCTTTAGTTCATATATTATGAATGTATAATAAGAAGCAATTACATGGAGTTATAATTCAGTGCATATTTTGTGAATATAGTGTGCCTTTAGTTCATATATTATAAATGTTGTGAATATAGTGTTCTCAAACATGAACATCACTATTCCAAATATATTATTCATTGCATATTTTGCTACCCTTTTTCCCGCTCTTTTATCCTACACCCCACAACTCCTAATCCTACACCACTCCAACCACTCACCAACACTCCCCTGTTCCATACTTCATCTCCCTCCTCAAGAAATCAACAAAAAATACCAACATAAATTAAAATTCAATAAAATATACAAACATTGTTTTGAATTTTAATTTTCGTACAAAATTTCAGACATAATTCACTAAAAAATTCACCAAAAAATATAAACATTTGCACTTAATTTCGGACAAAATTCACTTAAAAATACAAATATTTGCACTGAATTTCGGACAAAATTCACCATAAAATCCACCAAACAACAACAAACATGAAAATTAGGATCAAAACATGAAAATTCACTAAAATAAAAAAATGAATATACCTGTTGTTTTGATTTTCCTCTTCTTCAACAACTTTTTTCGAAATCTTATTGAGTAATTTCGGATCTACAGTAGGACTCTTTGCCACTTTCTTCTTTTTGGTGCCAAACATTTTATTTAGCGGCCTATTCAAGAAAATTAGGGTTTCTATCAACAATTTATATTAATAATTACAATTTAACACCACAATGAAATTTTAATTTATAGAAATAACAATAAAAAAATAAACATCTAAACTTACATATCTTCTTGATTTCCAGTAGATTTTGAAGCATTTTTTGTTTTTCTACAAAAACAATTGAATTACATGCGTTAGTTTATGAATTCACCCACAAACAACAATTAATCTAAACAATTTTTTACAAAGAAAAGAGAAAAAAATGTAACAAACTAATCTAAACAATTTTTCATATAATCTAACACAAATTTCATAGTTTCGAAAAATTGAATTTCGAAAAACAGAGTTTCGAATGTTTCAGATGAAAATTCACTAAAAAAATGTAAATTTTGGGCAAAATTCAGTGCAAATATACCTCTTCTTTGGATGATCCTTCTGATTTTGCATTTCATCTCTTATGTCCATTGTGATTTTTCCATATTTTTAGTGAGAGAATATGAACTAGAGGAGAGAGAAAATAAGAGAGCAGGAGAAAGGTTTGAATAGAAGTGACGTTACTTCAAGGGATTTGTTAAACATCGCCCGCGTTTTTCTACATAAAGCCCACATTTTTTAAAAATGTTGACATTATTGCCCTTGTTTTAATTTTTACCGAAAATAAAATTTTTCACTCATAAAAAATGTGGAGCAGGACTGGATCGCCGAGTGAAACCGAAGAGCCCTCAACGTCGGGTAGATGCACCGGAGAGACGCCGTTGACGCCGGAAAAGGAGGTACGAAGCCATCTAAAACCACGAATTGGCGGCTGGCGTCCTGCCGGGACGCCGTGACCGTAGTGGTGGCGCCTAGCCAGGACGCCGCCACCGTGGCTCTGGCGCCTGGCCAGGACGCCGACACCGTGGCCGTGGCGTCTGGCCAAGACGCCGCCGCCACGGTGGCGGCGTCCTGGCCAGGCGCCACCGCCACGGTGGCGGCGTCCTGGCTAGACGCCACCGCCACGGTGGCGGCGTCCTGGCTAGGCGCCACCACTATTTTTTTTTTTTTTTTTTTTTAATTTAATTTAAAATTTGTTTATTTTTTTTTTTTGTGTTACAATTTTTTTTTTTTTTTTTGGTTTTTTTTTTGTTTTGTTTTTAATTGTTTTAATTTGTTTTTGTTTTTAATTTATTTATTTTTTATTATTTTTTTTACAATTTTTTTCGTTTTATGTTTTTTTTTTGTTTTTATTTTTTTGGTTTATTTTTATTTATTTAATCTAAAGTTTTGTTTATGTTTTTTATTTTTGTGTTTTGTTTTTTTTTTTTTTTTGAATACTTTTTGTTTATTTCTTTGTTTGTTGTTTATAATTTATTATTGTTTTTGCTTTTGTGCTAATGTTGTGTCAAATGTATTAATTTAATCTACTCTTATGTGATTATATTTATATGTTATTGTTGCAGGATTATGGTGGAGACGGAAATGATTATAGTGGGATTTTTGTACACGATGGTCTGTTCGAAGATGCTCAACAAGCGGTTGATTGGGCGAAACAGGTTGCAATTAGATCAGGTTTTTGTTTAGTAGTAGCAACTCATCTACAACGTCAGACATAAATTGAGGTTTGAACGGTCAGAGGGAAGGAACCCTATACAGCAGCTTCTACACCAGGCACAAGCACGTGGTTACCTGTACTGGTTTGAATCTGATGAAGACACATCGGAGGTGACTCATTTGTTCCTTGTGCATCCTGATTGTGCTGATATGATTTCGTCTTGGCCATCTGTGATTCTGATCGATTCAACGTACAAGACAAACAAGTATAAGTTTCCACTGGTTGAGATGGTTGGGATGACTCCAACGAACCAGAACTTTTTGATTGGTTATGCAGTTATGAAGGATGAGACGGTTGCGAGTTACCGTTGGGTGTTGGAGAAGTTGAGAAATTACATCGGCCCAAGTGTTCAGCCATCGGCCATCGTCAGCGATTGTGAGGGAGGTCTCTTTGCCCCTATAGCGGAGCTGTTTCCGGAGTCGAGCCATTTACTGTGCACATGGCACATCAACAAATGCGTGAAAGTCAAAGCCTACAACCTTTTCAACAAGAACTTAGATTCAGCAGAGAGATTGGTAAATGGTAAGTGGCGGAAGATCCTGCAAGCTACCACGGAGGCAGAGTACGACCGAGCCTTGGATAACTTCAAGGATGCATACCAATGGTGCCCGGCAATCGTAGACTATGTGATGCAGCAGTGGGTGCCTCAGAGGGAAAAGTTTGTCAAATATTGGACAAACCAAGTTCTTCATTTTGGAAACACTACTACATGTAGAGTTGAGAGCGCTCATAGAGCTCTGAAGGACTGGATTGATTCTTCCACCTCTGCTCTGGATACACTGTTCGAGAGAATAAACAAGGCTATTGATACTCAGAGGAACGGCATCAAGAACTCTCTCGAGGACTCCAGACGGCGACATGGCACGATGTATAGCCATTTCATATTTAAGATTCTCCATGGTCGTGTGTCACACTACTGCTTGGGGTTGATTCTGAGCGAGCACACCAGGATGAGGGAGTTGGGTGATGAAGTGGCTATTCGGTGCGGATGTGCTATATCGGTGACTCATGGACTACCTTGTGCATGCACCATTCACCGCGTAATTACGCAAGATAGGGCGTCGTTACATGTTGATCAGGTTCATCCATTCTGGCGGACGCTCGTTATCGGAGAGCATGCTGTTCCACAGACAGTCAACCGTGAACAGGAGGAGTTGGAGCAGTTTCGTTCGATGTTTGACCAAGTGTCCTCCAGCCACCCTTCAGTCATTCGTAGTGCTACCCACGTACTTCATGATGTGCAGTGATGCATTTCGGCCTTGGTTTGCATGGTCGAGCTTACTATCCGTGTACCACGGTTCTGCCTTGGTGTTCGCGTGAGACCGTCACCAGACCGGTAAGAGAGGTTGCTATTGGATTTCTGGGGCCGTCATACAGACATTTCATCCGACTGGACCTGTCACCCGATTTTCCGGTCCCACCGATTATACCAACGTGGTACACCATTCGTACAGCAAGCGTAGAGGGCTGGGATGCGTTATATCATGACCGGGTGCAGCAGTGGAACAATCTAGTTGCCTTTTCTATGTGACCTAATATTGCTATTGCTATGTTTTTCCCATTTATTTAATTTTCGGATTCTAATTTTCGTATTTAGTTTTCCCATTTAAATGTGAACCTGTATTTAGTTTTCGTATGCCCACTAATTACAACTTAAAATAAAAGTTATAAAAACTAAAAATATAATGTCAAATTCTAAGAACTTAAAATAATAATTATAAGAACAGATAATGTTAACTTTTACAAACAACTAGGAAAATGTTTTATAAATGCACTGCCGACATATCAATAATCTCTCTGTGACGCCCACTGCCACTGCTCAAGGGCCCGTTCCAGTTCATCAATAACAGCTCTGCCTGTTGCAGTCGTCATGTTGTCCCTCTCCTCAAAAAGTCTGTGTCCCAACTGCGTCATCTTTTCCATCCACTACACATAACAAAACACATAAAATTCAATAACGACGTATTATGAGACGTATTATATGAAAAAAAACACAACTACAAATGTTTTATGAGACGTACCGCATCCACGGCAGTGGGCGGTGGCACATCATCATCATCGGCGTCGTCGCCGTGGTGGACGTCTCTGATCAACCTCGGGTGCGAGTGCCGGTTGTACCACTCCATGTAGTGCTGGTCACACATGGCAGCCACCCCAGTTGGCGGCCGCTGCAACTGCTCAATCCATATGCGGGCAACCATCGGAAACTGCTCCCACGTGCCAATCATGCTTGCCGGCCATTGGACGACGTACTCCTTCAACGACGCAGATCGGACGGCCTTACTGGGCCATGCTGGTGGAGGAGGAACAACTTGGACATATCCAAGCTGGCGAAGACAGCGCTGCGGCATGTACGCCTCTACGATCTCACGATACTGAATCAGTCCCGTGTAGAGGGTCCTGGGTACCCTATTACTAGGGTTCTGGCCGAAAGGCATCCAGTTCACCTGCACATTTTTTAAAATTAGTAAGATTCATACAATAAACACATCAAACTATAAAAGTAGAAATAATTTAAACACTTTACCTCTAATGGGGACATCCTGTCAAGCAATAACCGTATCGATCGCAGGCGGTCAATGGACTTCTTCTCGACACGCGGACTCCACGCACAGGCACGTGGCTGGCCATCCCCAATAGGAACCGGGTCGCGGTGTGGTCGAAACGCCGGGAAATACTCGTATATCCACGTCTGTAACAACGTCATACATCCAGTGATACCTGCCGCATCAGCCCGGCTCGAGAATCCTAACTGGCGATACATGTACGCTAATGTAGCCGACCCCCAAGAAAACTGGCCTACTCTGTCGGGCTCACACGCGTCAACTATGTCGCGTGGCTTGAGCTTGTTTCCGCTCTTATCCGGAAACAAGGTACACCCGAGAAGAAGAAAAACATATGCAGCCAGCTGTGTGTCCTGCGTCCTACGTGAAGTGGGGTGCAAACATTGCTGCAAAACTGCTGCGATCTTAACACCGCCGTGATCCCACACACCAAGTGCCGCTGTGTACAGCGCAGCCCTATCCACCGCCAACAGCTCCGCCAATAAATCTGCCTGATCCGCATCTGTGACAACAGATGCTCGGTTTCCCTCTACGGGAATCCCAAGGATGGCCTCGACGTCATGCAACATGATCGTCATCTCACCGAACGGAAGGTGGAAAGAGTTCGTGTCCGGCTGCCATCGCTCAACGAAAGCCGTGATCAGCGTCGAGTCAATCCTCTCATGCATGGTGGCAGGAAGGTGGCTCACTCTAGTGGCCCTCAATCGGCCGACCATCTCGCTCTCCTCCGGCCAAGCCTCAGCCCAACTACACAAGAAGTTACAAGTCCTCTCCCGGGTTTGGCATTTCAAAATGCCGCTATCCAAAGCCCGCTCTTGGTCCTCCCAAATACGGGTAGCGATGTGTCCTAGAAAGCTAGGAATCACACTCCCGTCTATAGGTCCCCCAGCCACCTCGCCCCTCACCACCCAAGAATCATTAACGGCCCTCGACCGTTTTCTGCTAACCGCAGACACAGTGGACGCAGATGATGTGCCAGATCTACTAACAAATCTACCATCTCTACCCTTACGCACGTCTACCCTACGCGTCTCATACACATCATCAAGCCTCTGACTGAATGGACCGTAATCATCATATGGTCCACTCTGATCGTCCACATCCTCATCTGCATCCTCCTCCTCCTCCTCCTCATCACCATCATCATCTTCATCATCCTCAGAATAGTGCACCCGTTCTCTACGAGCCGAGGCCGAAATACCACGGGATCTAACGTGTCTGGGCCCCGAGCTCTCCATTGAGTTCATCGTACTTCTCATAATGTCCATACTCTTCCCAGCCCCAGAACGAAAATACGATGCCTAACACAAAATAACAAAACATGTAATATGCAATATAAACATGTAATATAAACATAAAAAAAGTAATTAAAATAAATAAATAAAACAATATACATATGATGGAAAATAAATTAAAAACATTACAAAATATTAACAACCTAAAAATAAAAAAATTAATAACCTAATAAATAAATAAATAAAAAATTGGAAAAAACAAAGCAAAAAAAAAAATTACCCAAAAAAAAACAAATTGGAAAAAACAAAGTGAAAAATATAAAATTATAAAAACTTAAAAAAAGAAGAACATCAAAATTTTAAAAAAAATTTATAACAAAAAAAAGGGAACATAAAATTTTTTTTAAGTAAAAAAACTAATTCAAAAAAAAAAAAAAACAAGAACAATAAACAAGAACATAAAATTAAAAATTAAAAAAAAAAAAAGAGGAACATAAAATTTTTTTAAAAAAAACCAACAAAATTTAAAACAAAATAAAAAAAAAATCAGAAACATAAAATTTAAAATTAAAAAAAAGAAAAACAAATTTAAAAAAAAATCAAAAAAAAAATAATTATTTTCGAAAATTAAATTTCAAATTTAAAACCAAAAAAAAATTAAAAAAAAAAAATAAAAAGGCGGCGGCGCCTAGGCCAGACGCCGTGACGGTGGCGGCGGCGTCTAGCCCAGACGCCACTACCACGGCGGCGGCGCCTAGGCCAGACGCCGGTGCCGTGGTTCTGGCGCCTGGGCCTGACGTCACCGCCACCGTCACGGCGTCTGGCCTAGGCGCCGCTGCCGTGGTAGTGGCGTCTGGGCTAGACGCCGCCGCCGTGGTGGTGGCGTCTGGCCTAGGCGCCGCCACCGCCTCCGACCTTTTTTTTTTAATTTTTAAACACAAAATTAATAAAAAATACCTTCTCGCCGGAAAACCGCTGTCCACCCGCCGCCTGTGCCGCCACTTCCTTGCCGGGCCGCCTCGACATCGCTCGGAAAGTTTTTTAGAGAGAGAAAGTGGAAGTAGAGAATTGAGAGAAGAAATTGTGTTTTTTACTTTGAGGGCAAAAGTGACAATTCACTCTAATTTTGTGGGCTTTATGTGGAGATTCGCGGGCGATGTTTAGCAATTCAGTACTTCAATGTGGGTGGGGGTATTGAATTTTCTGTGTTTTAGGGCCAATTGTATTGTAATTACCATGTTTTTAGTTTTAGGGCCTTTTTTAATTGGGTTGGGGGTAATTAGGCGGTTGTTACACCTATCTAAGGTGCACAAGGGTGCACCTTAGACCAATTGGGGTTCGTGCTAGTAATTGATACAGAGTATTGGGCTAGAAATTGGAACATGAGTTGAATGAGTAACGTGTCGTAATTTCGTGAACTGGGATTATGAATAGAGCTATCAATTCGGGTAAACGGGTCAGGTTTGGGTCGGGTAAGAGTGGGTCGGGTCAACTCGGGTCGGGTCAATTTGGATTAATTCCATAACCTATGCGGGTCAGGTTTGGGTTGGGTCATGCTTGAGTTGGGTCACGTCGGGTGATATTTTTTATCGGGTTTGGGTCGGGTTGATAACAGGTTGGGTTAAATTCGGGTCGGGTGAACAATAGGTCGGGTTTAATTTGGGTTTTCACGGGTTAAAACGGGTTAGGATAATTCTCGAGTTCGAGTCGGGTTCGGTTAGTGTCAATAATTTGCGGGTTAGAATCAAGCCGAGTCATTCTAGGGTTTGAGTCGGGTTCGGTTCAATTCAATAATCTGCAGATTATAATCAGGTAGGGTTGTTTTCAAGTCGGGTGATTCTCAGGTTCAAGTCGGGTTCGATTCAAGTCAGCAATTTACAGGTTATAATCAGGTTAGGTCATTTAAAAGTCGGGTCATTCTCGGATTCAAGTCGGGTTATGTTCAAGTCAATAATTTGCAGGTTACAATCAGGTCGGGTCATTTCCAAGTCAGGTCATATTCGGGTTCAACTAACTAGAAATAAATAACAGGGAAATATTATCTCCTTTAATTATACAACAAATATATACTATATTTAACTCTTAAATTTGAGGATGATACTCCTTTCTTTTACTGGCTTGGACCGACTTGGTCTCCCTACACAAATTGCTTTGACCAACAATAATAAGGTGGTCTAAATTGCATTTAAGGTGATTTGAAATCGGGTCAAGAACAATTTGGGTTGAATTTAGGTCGGGTCAGGAATAATTTGGGTTGAATTTAGGTCGGGTCAATAACAAGTCGTGTTAATTTCGAGTCAGGTTAGTAACAAATCGGGTTGAATTTTGGGTCGGGTAAGTGATAGGTCTGGAAAAATTCGGGTCGGGTCAATAACAAGTCGAGTTGACTTCGGGTCGGGTTTATAACAGGTTGGGTTAAATGCGGGTCGGGTTAGGAACGGGTCGGGCTGAATTCAGGTACGGTTAGTAACAAGTCGGGTTAAATTAGGTTATTGACAAGTTAAAATGGGTTATGGTCAATTTCAGTTCAAGTCGGGTTCGGTGCAAATTAATTAAATTGGTCGTTGTAATCTGGTAAATCAGTGCAAGTTGTAAACCGGTAAATTGACCATTAACAGCAAATAGGATGGTTCCACACACCCAATTGGACTCCCGTAGAATATTAAGGACCATGGTAAACATTTCGGCAATTTTTATTTCCGGACAAAAAAAAAAGTCAAAAAATTCCAAAATTGAAGGCTATATGCCTATATCCACGCTTTTTGAGAAATTTCGGAGGTTTCAGGGCCCGGTGTCAAAAAGTCTTGAAATTCTATGGGAGACATCTCGGGGTTATATAATGCCTTTTGGAACCATATATAATCATTATTTGTCGTCATAAATGTTCGTGGTAAACTTGAATTAATGAAATCGGTGCAAGTTGTAAACCGATTAATTGGTCGTTTAACAGCAAATTTGATGGTTCCAAACACCAAATTGGACTCCCGGAATGTATTAGGGACCATGATAAACATTTCAGAAATCTTTATATCCGGGCGAAAAAAAGTCAAAAAATTCCAAAATTAAAGGCTAATATCCACATTTTTTGGAAAATTTTGGAGGTTTCGAGGCCTAGTGTAGAAAAGTCTTGATATTTTAGGGGATACATCCCGGGTCATATAATGCCGTTTGGAACCATATATGATCATATATGTTATCATAAATGTTCGTAGTATGCTTGAGTTAATGAAATTCTTGCAAGTCGTAAACCGGTAAATTGGTCGTTTAAAGGCAAATTGGATGGTTTCACTAACCCAATTGGACTCTTGGAGGATATTAGAGACCACGGTAAACATTTCGCCAATTTTTAATTCCGGGCGAAAAAAAGTCAAAAAATTCCAAAAATTGAAGACTAATATCCACGTTTTTTGAGAAATTTTGGAGGTTTCGGGGCCCGGTGTCGAAAAGTCTTGAAATTCGAGGGGATGCATCTCAGGGTCATATAATGTCGTTTGGAACCATATATGATTATTATTTGTTGTCATAAATGTTCGTGATAGGCTTGAGTTAATAAAATCGGTGCAATTTGTAAACCGGTAAATTGGTCATTTAAAGGCGAATTGGATGGTTCCAACCACCCAATGAGACTCCCGAACGGTATTAGGGATCATGGTAAACATTTCGGCAATTTTTATTTTCGGGCGAAAAAAAAGTCAAAAAATTCAAAAATTGAAGGCTAATTATCCACACTTTTTGAAAAATTTTGGAGTATTCGGGGCTCGATGTCTAAGAGTTTTGAAATTCTAGGAAATACATCTCGCAGTCATATAATGTCGTTTGGACCCATATATGATCATTATTTGTTGTCATAAATGTTCGTGGTAGGCTTGAGTTAATGAAATCGGTGCAAGTTGTAAATCGCTACATTGGTCGTTTAAAGGAAAATTGGATGGTTCCACCCACCCAATTGGAATCCCGGGGGGTATTAGGGGCCATGGTAAACATTTCGGCAATTTTTAATTACGTGCGAAAAAAGTCAAAAAATTCCAAAATTGAAGGCTAATATCCATGCTTTTTTAGAAATTTTGAATGTTTCGGATCCCGGTGTCGAAAAGAAATAAGATTTTAGAGATACATATCGGTGACATATAATGCCGTTTGGAACAATAAATGATCATTATATGTTGTCATAAATGTTCGTGGTAGGCTTGAGTGAATGAAATCGGTGCAAGTTGTAAACCGGTAAATTGGCTGTCTAAAGGCAACTTTGATGATTCCACCCACCCAATTGGACTCCGTAAGGGTATTAGAGACCATGGTAAACATTTGGCCATTTTTATTTTCGGGTGAATAAAAGTCAAAAAATTCCAAAATTGAATATTCACGCTTTTTGACAAAATTTTGAAGTTTCAGGGCCCATTGTTAAAAAGGCTTGAGATTTTAGCGGTTATATCTCGGGGTCATATAATGCCGTTTGGAACCATATATGATCACTATATGTTGTCATAAATGTCCGTGATAGGCTTGAATTAATGAAATCGGTGCAAATTGTAATTTGGTAAATTGGTCATTTAAAGGCAAATTGGATGTTTCCACCCACCCAATTGGACTCATAGAGGGTATAAAGGACCATGGTAAACATTTCCACAATTTTTATTTTTGCACGAAAAAAAGTAAAAAAAAAAATCCAAAATATCCACGTTTTTTGAGAAATTTTGGAGGTTTCGATGCCCGGTGTCGAAAGACCTTTAGATTATAGAGGATACATCTCAGGGTCATATTATGCCATTTGGAACCATATATGACTATTATATGTTGTCATCAATGTTTGTGGTAGACTTGAGTTAATGAAATCGACGCAAGTTGTAAACCGGTAAATTGGTCGTTTAAAGGCAAATTGGATGGTTCCACTCACCTAATTGGCCTCTCGTAGAGTAATAGAGACCATGGTAAACATTTTGACAATTTTTATTTCCGTGCGAAAAAAAAGTCAAAAAATTTCAAAATTGAAAGCTAATATATCCACACTTTTTGAGAAATTTTGGAGGTTTCGGGACCCGGTGTCGAAAAGTTTTGAAATTATAGGGGATGTATCTCGGGGTCATATAATGCTCTTTGGAACCATATATGATCATCATTTGTTATGATAAATGTTCTTGGTAGGCTTGAGTTAATGATATCAGTGCAAGGTGTAAACCAGTAAAATGGTTTTTTAAAAGCAAATTGGATGTTTCCACCCACCCAATTGGACTTTCGGAGGATATTAGGGACCACAGTAAACATTTCGGCAATTTTTATTTTCGGGGGAAAAAAAGTCAAATAATTCCAAAATTGAAATCCACTCTTTTTGAGAAATTTGGGATGTTTCAAGACCCGGTGTCGAAAAGTATTGAAATTCTATGGGATACATCTCATCATATTCATATAATGTCGTTTGGAACCATATATGATCATTACATGTTGTCATAAATGTTCGTAGTACGTAGGCTTGAGTTAATTAAATCGGTGCAAGTTGTGAACCGGTAAATTGGTCGTTTAAAGGCAAATAGGACGGTTCCACCCACCCAATTGGACTCCCGGAGGATATTAGGGACCATGGTAAAAATTTCGGCAATTTTTATTTTCGGACGAAAAAAAGTAAAAAAATTCCAAAATTGAAGGCTAATATCCACGTATTTTGAAAAAATTTGGAGGTTTCGAGGCCCGGTGTTGAAAAGCCTTTAGATTATAGGGGATACATCTCGGGGTCATATAATGTCATTATGAACCATATATGATCATTATATATGTTGTCATAAATTTTTGTGGTAAACTTGAGTTAATGAAATCGACGCACGTTGTAAACGGGTAAATTGGTCGTTTAAAGGCAAATTGGATAGTTCCACCCAGCCAATTGGACTCCCAGAGGGTATTAGAGACCATGGTAAACATTTCGGCAATTTTTATTTTTGGGTGAAAATAAGTCAATAAATTCCAAAATTGAAGACTAATATCCACGTTTTTTGAGAAATTTTGGAAGTTTCGGGTAGATTTGTTAATTCGGGTAAACGAGTCGGGTTTGGAGTGGATCGGGTCAACTCGGGTCAGGTCAATTCGGATTAATTCCATACCTATGTGGATCGGGTTTGGGTTGGGTCATGCTTTAGTCGGGTCATACTTCTTATCGGGTATAGGTCGGGTTAATAACAGGTTGGGTACATTCGAGTCTGGTGAACAATAGGTCGGGTTTAATTCGGGTTTTCACGGGTTAGGGTAATTCTCGGGTTCGAGTCGGGTTCGGTTCAAGTCAATAATTTGCGGGTTATAATCAGGTCGGGTCATTCTCGGGTTTGGTTTGGGTCGGGTTCGGCTCAAGTCAATAATTTGCGGGTTATAATCAGGTCGGGTCATTCTCGGGTTCAAGTCGGGTTCGGTTCAAGTCAATAAATTGCAAGTTATAATCAGGTTGGGTGGGTCATTTTCAAGTCGGGTCATTCTCGGATTCAAGCCGGGTTATGTTCAAGTCAATAATTTACCGGTTAATTACAATCAGGTCGGGTCATTTCCAAGTGTGATCATATTCAGGTTTAACTAACTATAAATAAATAATTATCATTTTTATCAAGCTAATTATTTCCTTTGACTATAATATATATGACAATATACTAGGGAACTATAGTCTATAATTTAGGAAGATAATTATCTCCTTTGACCATACAACAAATATATATTATATTAACTCTTAAATTTGAGGATGATACTCCTTTCTTTTGTTGGCCTGGACCAACTTGGTCTCCCTAGACAAAATGCTTTGATCAACAATAATAAGGTGGTCTAAATTTCATTTAAGGTGATTTGAAATTAGGTGAGGAACAATTTGGATTGAATTGAGGTCGGGTCAATAACAAGTCGTGTTGATTTTGAGTCGGGTTAGTAACAGATCGGGTTGAATTTTTGGGTCGAGTTAGTAATAGGTCTGGTAAAATTCGGGTTGGGTCAATAACAAGTCGGTTTGAATTTGGGTCAGGTCAATAACAAGTCGGGTTGATTTTGGGTCGGGTTTGTAACAGGTTAGGTTAAATTCGGGTCGGATTAGGAACGGGTCGGGTTGAATTCAGGTTAGGTTAGTAACAAGTCGGGTTAAATTCGGGTTTTGACGGGTTAAAACAGGTTTGGGTCAATTTCGATTCAAGTTGGGTCGATTCAGGTCAATAATTTACGGGTTACATTCGGGTCGGGTCATCTCCAGGTCAGTTCATGTTCGGGTTCGGATCTCACGTATTCGGGTCAACTCGGGTCTGGGGTTGGTTTCAGGTCGGTTTGGGTCACCATTTTTTCGGGTTCAGATGGGTCGGTTATAATCGGGTTTGAGTCGGTATTTCGGGTCTGGTCAACTTTTAACAACTCTAATTATGGGTGTGTTCGGTAAAATATAGCTGTGAACGTAGTTGTAAGCTGTGTAGGTAGCTTTTAGCTGTCAACAAGTTGTATTTGTGAAGATAGATAATTTAGGTATGAGTGTTCGGTAAAATAGCGGTTGACTAGCATTTACATATACAAATCAATATATTATATTAAAAACTATAGGTTAATTTTTCAACGACTATCTCAAAAGCTACCTCTACTTTCAAAAGCTAATAGTACTAACTTTTCATAAAAACTACTTCTACCACTAAAATGTACGATAACCACTATTTTGCCGAACACACCCTATGTTTACTCGTTTAATTATCTTCCGTTTTTATATCATGAATTATTAGGTTTATTACTTTGTTTAATTTTGTTTATTTAATTTGTCTGAATTCAATTAATTAAATTTGAACTTACTTGAATTTAAAACTTTGTTTAGTTATAGTTTGAACTTTGGCAATTTTTATTAGCCTTTTTTAAACCTCGATGTTTTATACAATTGATTGTAATTCTCAACTGGCTCCTCCTTTCACACAATCGATAGTCTTGAATTACTATCTATCGATTGTATTGTATTCCTTGTAATAAAACTTAGATCAACATTTAATCATAAGTTGATACTTTGTATGTAATACTTGATCTACTTTGACACATTCTTATTATGGATAGCTTAATCACGAGTCACGACACTTTAATTTAAATATAGACATTTGAATCCTAAACATATATTTTTTTTAATGAACCGTATTGTGTTTATTTGGCTAAGCCACTCTATAATCAAACACACCTCATAATTTACATTGGGACAATCAATTTAACAAGGCCAATAAAATAGAAATTTGATCGAGATAGATAATTAATTTATCAAGGCCAATAAAATTCACTCCATAGCATTTTACATTGAGCATCTTGAGGATTGAAGCCACTTTTAAATATGGAAAAAAAAACCTAAAAATTATAAAAATGTGATACTACGTACTAGAAAAGCTTGCCATACATGCATATATGCAAGCTTCACACTTATTAGCAAAATTAGATTAACAATTCAAAGTTAGTAATTAAGATCTTCATTTGTTCATCCCGGTGGCTTCCTTCACTGAATCCATAGCGCTAGTTGCCTTATCTTGCATTTGTGATCCACCCTATGCACAATAAAACACCAAACTATAAATATATATACCACAAATTTAAACATATCGATATTGGTACATCATAATCATACTTTACATATCTTAAAATGTTCGAATAAAAGTAGTCGTATTTCCTAGTGATTTTAAATCAAATAACAAGGACAATGTGATAATTAATTATAAACCGTATAATTTAAATTTGTTTGTGAAATACAAAGTATAATTAAATGAAATGTGAAATAAAAAGTTACATAGAGGGCAAATGGAAATCACCTCCTTAACGGTTTCCTTGGCTGCTTGGCCGGCACAACAAGCCTTGTCCATCATGTTACTTGCCTTCTCCTATAAATTCCCAACATTTTATAAGAAATCCGATTATCATCAAAATATATTAAATACATAATTAGAATTTTTAAAATAAAAAAATCAAAGATACAAAAAGTTTGAAGAAATAAAAAAAAATCACCTCGGTTTGGGCCTTGGCCTGACCCGCTTGGTAGCTAGCGTTTTGTGAGTCCATTTTGTATTAGTATTTGAGAATGGAAAAGATTTTTATATTTTGGTTTGTTTCTAATTCTTGTGAAAAACTCAAGTGTGAATGATTTATTGAATAGAAGATGAATGAATTTATAGGTATGTTTGGAAATTAAATGAGTGGTTGATAGTTTTGTGAAATGAGATCCTTACAAATTGAGTGTTAAAAGGTTGTTGTATGATCCATATTTTAAGAACATCCCTAATTTTAAATCTATACTTTGACTGATTCATAGATTTGGTAATTGGTACGAGTTACATATAATTGACATATAGTGTATTAGTGGAAGACAAAATTAACTTATAATTTTATTGGATTTGTTTAATGGGTTTTTTAAATTATCAAATTTTAATTAAAGAATTGGTAAACAAAATTAACTATGAGTTGATAAGTATATTTCTTATGACATAGTAATATAGTAGGTAAATAATGTAATTAAAGACATATGCGGTTAAATATGTAAGTCTAAAGATTAAAAATCAAGCTCTGTACATTTTATTACAGTAGAATATACAATATCCATTTTTTTGTCAAAAAAAAAAAAAACATTTCACACCTCTTAATTTCAAAATCGTAAGCCTCTTACCACAAATCAACTCTAGAAACCTATAACTTTGAGATCATTTCTTTGCAACATTCAACTATAACTCGTAGTTTTCAATATCATCATCACAAGAGAATTCGTAATGAAAACGTTGTGTTGGATATTACGTATTAGTGTAAAGTAGTTGGTTACTTGTATTCCTTGGCTAATGTACTTAGTAGTATAAATATAAATGTACTTAGTAGTATAAATATACACAAATAGTATGATGTAAGTATCTTTGTATTTTCCAATATTCTCATTCTAAAGAATACACTACTTACTTTTCTCTCTCCTCTCTTTCACTCTTTCTTCTTCTTCTCTCTTTACTGATCAAAAACTCAAGTTCTACTTTAATGGCTTTCTTCTCTTTTCTTCCTTCTTAGATTCACAAAATTAACACGTTGTATATAAGAGATATCATTCTCAACTAAAACCTTGATCACAAAATTATTGTAACAAATTTTCGCCTTGTCACACAACGAATGCGCTGATGTATGATAACATTCTGCTATCTCATTAAAGTCAAGTACAGAGACTTGAGTCATACTTTCTTCCATTTTTTGACAATACACAAGTCACAAAATTATTGTATCATAATTGTTTATTAATTCATTAAATTCATTAGCCATACCGTCCGAAAGATAAAAATTTGCCCCTATGAGCAAAGATAGATCATCAATTATATAATGTGTTACTGCATCTTCAATACTAAGGTATTCAAGATTTGGTTCTTTAATACTAATACACGAAGAGGTATGTGTGCTAATCAGATTTGCAATATCATGTATTTCTAACGACCTTAACGTCAATCACTCCACACACAATGTCTTATTCAAACCATTACATTGTTCGATAAATAGTTCTTGGAGAGATGAACAATTCGATGTCAACCTCTTCATATATTTTTCGCCATTAAACTCTACTCTATTAAGGTGGATGATTTCAATGGCTCGATAGATGAAAACACCTGAATTATCATCTATTTTCACACTTCTTAATTTTAAAATTTTGAGCCATTATTTATACCTTTGTTAAATTAATTTTATCGTCGCACACAATAATAAAACAATACTCCGTATTAGTTGTATATAGATGGCCAAATTGATCCATCCATAAATAGTTTTCCATTGGTATATATATAATCTGTTTTCAATTAAATTGTTTTGCAACAAAATTCTAGGTTGTAAGGGTAAAAGGGCAATCAAGAAATTATCGTAGTATAAAGGGCAAAAAAGAGTTATTAAGAAAATAACACCCAACGAACTCTTGAAAAATAAATCCAATATAGTAAAATGAGAGTACAAAGACCCTACTTTATAAGGTGAGAAATAAACAAATAAAGAACTCAGTAATGGAATAATACAAGGAGGAAATTAAAGTATGAATAAGGAAGTTAGTTTAGTGGGTAGTATGGAAATGTACATTGAATGAGAAAGTTTGTGGATTGGTGGAAATGAACTACACTCCAACTATTTATAGGTGTTTGGAGTGGGTGGATTATATGGCGGTGATAGCTAGAACTTTCTAGATAAAGTTGCAAGTGGACTATTTCTAGAGAAATCAAGATGGTTGATCACTTGATCATCACCAATATATTACAAATTTTTGCCTAGACCCAAGACTATGCATCACTCCCTACACCCTCTCATACCATGTCATCAGCTTCCCACACACTTAGCTGTTTATTATTCCCTCCGTTTTTAAATACTTGCTCCATTTTTTTTTTCGGCCGTTCTTAAATACTTGCTCTATTTCCTTATTTGGAAAGCTTTTACAATATTTAACTCATTTCTCATCTAGTGGACCCAACAAATATCACCGCCAAACCCTAGCCCCCTCCCCTTTTCTCGCCGGAAAACAGCCGGCCACCCCCTTAACCACCAAAAAAACGGTCGATCGGCCCTTAAGCACTCCACCTGACCCATCGCCGACCCCCAAAACCACCCACACAACCTGCCCCGACCCCAAATACCACCAACATGAGCTTTGATTTAAACACCCAGCGTTTTCCAACCACCGTGCAAAATCACTCCTCTTATCCTCCACCCTATAAACGATGAAATTGGCCATAGAAATCGATCATTGTAGATTTCCATGGTTGATTTCGGTCGTTTGAGGGTGATGGGTTTCCACAGTCGGGTTCTATTTTGGATTTTTGGGTTTCCATGGTCAGTTGTGGTGGCTATGTGATGCACCGTGTTGGTGCGTGAGGTGGTTGTGGGGGTTGGGGTGGGCATCAGCGCAAGGTCGTCGGGTAAACGGAGTTTTGTGGGTCAGTGTGTGGGTGCTGGAGTCGAGTAGGCAGAGTTTTGGGCATTGCGTGAGATGGTTGCGGTGGTAAGGGTGGTTTTTCGGGGGATTAAGAGGAGTCGACGGTTTTGATGGGGTCAAGGGGTTCCAGCGGGACGTCAGGGGTTCTAGAGGGTTCCGAAGGAAGGTTAGAGGGTTCCACCAGGAGGTCAAGGAGTTCCGGCGGTTGGCTTTGGGGCGTCGGTTAGCTTGGGCAGGTGGTTACGGTGGTGGGGTTGGGTTGGGTTAGGATTTAGAGTTTTTTTAATTTTATTTTATTTATATTTTTTAAACCAATAATCGATTGCCATGTGTCACGATTAAGCCTCCGTTAGTCATTAATGGCACTCGGTGAATTATTTAAAAACTGAGTGACATTTGGTGAATTCTGAAAAGTGCGATGGCATTTGGTGAATTTTTAAATTTTTCAATAACATTTGGTGAAATTTTCGTTAAAGAAAATAAGAGGTGCAAAAAATATCACGTACGGTACGTAGCTCGGTATTAGAACACTACAATTTAAAAGTAATATGAGCTGAGTAAGACCAAACTCACTTGATGATGTTTTATGGCTTTATCGATCTTATATTATTAGCTTACAAATACAATCAAAGATATGTCAAGAAACGAAAAACATTAATTTCAACTATATAAATAAATAAATAAATAAAATATCAAATCACATTGGACCATAAAAATTAACTTTATTCACAAAAGACCATAAGTTAAGATGAAAATATGATCTGATTAATATTGCTCCTTAAATTTTATGGAGGGTGATAAGTAGTTTATGGAACCCAAATAATTTGAGGAATGTGCTAATGGTTCAATCTTCGCATTGTTTTATATACTTCTCATTTGTTCATTTCCGGATACATGCAAGTGATCCAACATATTTTTTTCTTTTTTTTTTTAATGACAACAACTCTAAGTGAAAATTATCGATAAACTAAAATATTTGAATGTCACTCTTAATGGTGGAAACTAAGCTATTAGCTTATTTTAAGAATCAATATAAATTTTTTTTTTTTTTTTGTTTATTTATGTGCTCAAATATTTATTAACTTCTCTATGGTAATGAGCAAAATCATTAAATCATAAATAAACCTCAATCCATCACGACTTCTTAAACTAGTGAAATTAAAGGCATAATGTTGTATACTTTTATAAGTATTATACATTGAGAAGGAACGAAAGAAATAATACGAGCATACAACATTCAATTCTCATTATTTATTTGTACTGAGTAATAACATAAGATGCTGTTAATTTGAAAGGAAACAATAATTCTCATAGTGAAAATTAACAAAACTTAAGGTGCTAAGAGAAAATCGAAATAATTGAGGCAAATAATATTTCACTTCCATATTATATAAGAAGTTCGAAGAACTAGTAGTAGAACGACATTACATTGGACATCTAGAGGATATATATATGAATCATCTCTTTTTAGGATGAAATTCAAATAAACCCTAAAAACACCAAAACTTAATTAATACTAGAAGAAAAAAATGGCTAGAAGCTCTAGCTTCACCCCACTTATTAAAAAAGCTAGATTCATAAAAAGTAGCCAAGACTTCAAATAAAGTTAGGTACTTCATTTGTTCATTCCGGTGGCTTCCTTCACTGAATCCATTGTGTCTCGTGCCTTAGCTTGCATTTGTGCTCCAGCCTACATGTAATCAAATTATGGTATTAAGAATTTTCTAGCATGGGAGAAAATATGTCACCCTTGAAAGTAATATATACGAGAAAACTTTATAATCAAAGTGCATGTCTTATTATACAACCGTCTCACACAAGACCTGGTTTAAAATAATAGATAGAAACGGACCTCTTGAATGGATTCCTTGGTTGATTGGGCAGCGGAGCTAGCCTTGTCTGTCAGGTTGCTAGCCTTCTCCTGTGAGATAACACTCAACTAGAATTAGCACAAGTGCGTACATAATTAAGAATTGAACCGTGAAAATTAAGACAAAATTAAAAGTTTCAAAATTCTTACCTCGGTTTGGGCCTTGGCCTGACCAGCTTGGTAGTTAATGTTTTGTGAATCCATTTTCTATGTATTGAACTTGTGTTTTCTTTTTGAGAAGATAAAGGTTTTCTTTCTTTTTTACTTGTGAATAACTCAAGTGTTGATGATTTGCTTCTTAGAAAAGGAGTGTATTTATAGATGTTTGTTATGATCGAGTGAGTGGTTGATACTTTAGTGGAATGTGCTCCTTACAAATGGTGCTAAAATGTTGATGTCTTGAATTAGGAATTGGAAGATCTAAAAATATTTCAATTATATTTTGATAATAATAATGTTGTATTTAGTTTGATTAGTTCCTTGCCAAGTGGTAATGTAATAGTTAGATTAGGGTTAGAGATGAAGTTTGGAGGGGAAATAGGAGGGTGTACGTTTTTATGGTTTCCCCTTCAATCTCGGTTTATTGAAGTTTAAAATATCTTTATTTATTAATATTCACTCATATACGTAGTATTTTGTTTATTTTATTATAATGTAAAAATTAATTAATAGCTAAAATTTGGCGTACAAAATTGAGAGTGATTGCTAATTTAGGATGGAAGAAGTAGCAATTTACCTTGTAGATTTAATAGTGATTTCTAATTAGGGAAGTGAAACTAAAGAACTGAGCTCAGATCTTTATTTCACTCACTACAAATGTTTATAAAGTAGAGTAGCCAGAGTTCGAGAAATTGGTCTTTAGTATAATCAATCATTATTGTGTTACTTTTAAATTACCATAAGTTTTTTTATTTAATAGATGTAAAAGATTATTTAAGTTTCAATTCTGGAATTGATCAATACAAAAAACCAAAATTATAACTAAGTGACTATTGCCAACCCCGCCAAGAAGTAGTATGCATTTAATTATATATAGCGTAGATGACTTTTTGTAAAATATAGGTGTAATTTTTATGGTGTATAAAAAATGATTTTCAACATGTCTTTCTATACATTAAACATAATTGAAAAATAAACATGTGCTTCAATGTTTTATATTAGCAACCAATAATTTTAACTTTTACTATTAGCTAAATGAAATTCAGCAGCAATTACATATTTTATAATCAATAGACATTTTGCACTCACACTCTAATACGGGCCAAGATGAGTTAAACCACTTCATTAGCTTCTTCAATGATAGGCCTTATGGCTCTCTCTAATTAAAATTTTGAGCCTTATGGCCTATTTAGCGAGAGAGAGTCCGACTGCTTTCAATTGAACGGCTATCCTTCATGGTGGGGTGATCGTGGTCGTGGAGGTAGAGGACGGGGTCGTGGTGATTTTGGAGGCAGCAAAGGTGGGGGCCGTGGAGGAGGGCGTGGTAGTGCGCCTGCTTCTCAGGTCCAAGCACACAAGACAGGTGGTACCAGTGGGTCACAAACCACTCAAACAGGCAACACCACAACGTCTGATAGGGCTGCTCTTTCGGGAGTGACACCGGCACAAATTCAGCAGATCCTTGACCATCTTTCTTCTGTGAAACATAAGCTTCATGGTAAGGGTCAATTGGGTTGGATCGTTGACATCGGCGCATCCAACCACGTGACTTTTGATTTGTCTCTTTTGACGAATGTTTCTAATGTGCCACATTGTCCGGTAGGATTACCGGATGGAAAAAGTGCTAATGCTTCTAAAATCGGCTCCATGATTTTGCAAGGGGGTTTGAAAATTGATAATGTTCTTTTTGTACCTCAATTAAATTGCAATTTGATATCCGCGACGCAATTATGTGATGAATCAAATTGCACTATGCAATTTACTAACAAACTTTGTGTTATACAGGACCTAACGACGAGGAAGGTGATTGGAGCGGGTGAACGTGTGGATGGACTTTATTATTTCCGTGGTGTTCCTGAGGTGAAAGCTTTGAAGATAGATGGGGATCAATCGGCAAAGTTGTGGCATCAACGAATGGGGCACCCTTCCGGAAAGGTTTTGCAACATCTTCCAGTTATGAGTAGTTCTAATAAGAGTCTTAAAAATTGTGATGTATGCCCTCGGGCAAAACAACATAGGAGTAGTTTCCCTTAAGCAAAAATAAAGCTAGTCGTTTATTTGATCTTATTCATGTTGATTTGTGGGGTCCTTATAAGACCGCGTCAACTTGTGGTTCCCATTATTTCTTAACAATCGTAGATGATTTTTCTAGAGGTGTGTGGACGTATTTATTACGAAATAAAACCTAAGTTGAATTGATGTTTCTCAATTTTGTTGCTTTAATTAAACGACAATTTGGGTATGAGATAAAAATTGTACGTAGTGATAATGGGACGGAATTTAATTCCTTGAAAGACTATTTTTTTGCTAATGGGATAATATTTGAGACTTCTTGTGTGGGTACGCCTCAACAAAATGGGCGTGTTGAGCGTAAACATCAACACATCCTTAATGTGGCCCGAGCTTTGAGATTTCAAGCCAATTTACCTCTAAAATTTTGGGGGGAATGTGTGCAAGCGGCTTGTCATTTGATAAACCGTACTCCTTCTAGATTGCTTGATTTTAAGACTCCATTTGAGATGTTGTTTGGTAAATCTCCTATGTATGACCATATAAAGGTTTTTGGGTGCTTGTGCTATGCTCATAATCAACGTAGTAAGGGAGATAAATTCGCTAGTAGAAATCGACGGTGTGTGTTTATAGGATACCTGTTTGGAAAGAAAGGTTGGAGGGTCTTTGACTTGGAGACTAAGGAGACCTTCCGAGATGTTAAATTTCTTGAACATGAATTCCCATTTAGAAATTCTGCTGGCCATGATGCTTTACAATCTACATATGTGCAAAATATTGTTGATTGTGTGAGTGATGATGAATGGAGTGTGGAGGAAGGAGGTGAGACGGTGCAGCCCGACATTGAGCTTGAGCAGGCTGCCGAAATCACCCAGACAGAATGGACCGCAGCCAGCCCGCGGCAAAGCACAGGAGACCGCGACCATCCTGCGGCTGGGCCTGCCAGCAGCTCTGCTCAGCTCGCTGGGTCACCAGCGCATGCTGGTTTGGTGCCTCTTGACTCCAGCGAGCCTGGGCAGTCTCATGTGCCTCGAGATGAACCTGTTGTGTCCCCGAACAGCGTAGAGCAGGCCTCTACTTCGCAGCAACACGGTGAGACGGTAGACCTTGAATATATGGAGAATGGGGATGATATGGGTAAAGGAAAGCGAGAAAAGCATCGCCCTGTCAAACTTCGAGATTATGTGACTCATACTATTCGGAATAAAAGTCTATCCATGCATCATCCTTCATCCGCGTCACCTCCCGCAGGTACTGTTTATCCCATAACACATTTTGTTGATTCTCACCGTTTTTCTGTCAAGCATAGAAAATATATTGCAGCAATTACAGGGAATTCTGAGCCGAAAATTTTTAAGGAAGCCATGAAGCATGAAGGCTGGAAAAAAGCAATGGCGAACGAAATACAGGCACTTGAAGAACAGGGCACATGGGTCCTAGAACCTTTACCACCTGGCAAAAAGGCGCTGGGAAGTAAATGGGTTTACAAAGAGAAGTACGATGAACATGGAAACTTGCAAAGACTGAAAGCTCGACTAGTGATATTTGGAAATCATCAGGTTGAAGGTCTAGACTACAATGAGACTTTTTCTCCGATAGAAAGATGGTGACGGTTCGTACTTTTCTTGCAGTTGCAGCAGTAAAGAATTGGGAAGTACATCAGATGGATGTTCATAATGCCTTTTTACATGGTGACTTGGAGGAAGAGGTATACATGAAAATTCCCCCTGGCTTTAATAAAAATAATTTTGGTAAAGTGTGCAGGATGAAGAAGTCATTGTATGGCTTGAAACAGGCTCCTCGTTGTTGGTTTGCAAAACTAACAACTGCTTTGAAAAAATATGGTTTTAAACAATCAAATTATGATTACTCTCTCTTCACTCTGACGAGAGGGCCAATGCAGCTTAATGTGCTAGTGTATGTTGATGACTTAATTGTTGCAGGAAATGATAAGTCTACATTGTTGCAATTTAAAACATATTTAGGGAATTGCTTCAAAATGAAAGATTTGGGAGTTTTGAAATATTTTTTGGGGTTAGAAATAGCTCGTAACCACCAGGGAATTTTCATGTGTCAGAGAAAATATGCATTAGACATCATTCAAGAAACAAGGTTGATTGATGCAAAACCTGCAGATTTTCCCATGGAGCAAAATCACAGGCTAGCTCTGGCAGATGGGGATCTATTTGATGATGTAGAGAGGTATCGACGTCTCATTGGACGTTAGATATATTTGGCTGTAACTAGGACGGATTTGGCCTATTCTGTGCATATTTTGTCTCAATTTATGCAGAGCCCGAGATTAGAGCACTGGGAGGCTGCTTTGCGTGTTGTGAGATATTTGAAGAAGAGTCCAGGTCAGGGTATTTTGCTGCGGTCTGATAGTGCTCTACGGTTGGAAGGATGGTGTGATTCGGATTGGGCGAGTTGTCCATTGTCTAGGATATCGTTGACAGGTTGGTTCGTGTTTCTTGGTTTATCTCATGTGTCATGGAAAACCAAGAAACAACCCACGGTAGCTATGAGCTCTGCAGAGGCGGAGTCAGGTCTATGTCTGCTTGTACTCATGATTTGAAGTGGCTAAAGCGGATCCTGAGAGATTTGGGGGTGCGACATGAGAGTGGTATGCACCTCTATTGTGATAATCAATTAGCATTATACATTGCGAAGAATCCGGTGTTTCATGAGCGAACGAAACATATTGAAGCTGATTGTCATTTTGTCAGGGATGCTATTACAGAAGGCCTTATCGGACCGTCCTATGTGCCTACGACGATTCAGTTGGCTGACATTTTCACCAAGGCTTTGGGAAAGGTCAAGTTTGATTTCTTACTCCGCAAGTTGGGCATTTGTGATCCGTATGCTCCAACTTGAGGGGGAGGGGATTTGGAGATATTATTGTGATATATTTTAGGAAACTTATCTTGTGAAAAGATATGGTAGAATCTTGTAAAGCTTAGGGTTTGTTACCCTAGTAGTATATATACATGTATTGGCCGTGAATATTAATGAGAAGAATACAGAGAATTTATTCATAATTTGCCTCTGATTTAACATGTTGCATCACATGAAAGTTGACAATTGTATGCATGTAATGAAATCTTTAGTCTTCCATATGTGATTGGTAAATTATTTTTAAAATTTTTTAAGTTAGGAAAAAAAGCAGACGTTAAAAAATTAGTTGATATAAGATCTATAGTTTAAGGAAATTCCTTTATAAGAGGTACTAGCTTAGATGTACTCTATTGGTTTTTGTTTTGAACTTTTGATAACAAGTGGTTGTCCCTGTTTCTAGCTTTTAGTTGATGGTTGCAAGAAATTAGTTTTAACACGTTGTTATAATCATTCTAATTACTTTGTAGGTTAAGTTCTTCGCTCTCTACAAAAATTATATTACTCATATTTTGCATATGGCAATTAAATGTTTTGTTAATGGAAGTTGTCAATGAATCATTTGGAAAGAAAAGTACAACAATTACTCCCAATTTCGAATCCTCAATCAATCAATAACACTATATTTTAATTGTGTTATTATTTATTTTAATTTGACATGTGCTTAAAAAAAATTAGCACTATTATGCCATCACTTTCTCTCTTTAAATTTACCACTATCATTCCCGAAATCTAACATGGTATCACAGCTTAGGTTAGATCTTGGGATTATATACAAAAATTTTCACCCTGTCGGTGGGTTAGAAAATTAAACCCACCGGCGGGATATACAAAGTTTTTTATGCTTCCGCAAACACACATATAGATTTTTTTTTCTTTTCTCAAAGTTTTTTTTTAGAATCTTTATGTAACCTTGCGCCTCCCACCAACAGTAGCAATCGCGAAAGCCTCCTCCATCATTGTTGGCAATCACATACACTACCGCCTCCCACTACTGGCAGTAACCACATCTGCCAACCTACTCCATGTGTCGCACTCTATTTCCACCTCCCCATGACCAACAATGATTCTTACATTGTCTCATTGGTTTTTTTATCACATAATCACATAGATTTTGTTTGGGTGGTGGTATATCACAATAAGGTCAACTTTTGCACATCTCTTTTGCTATCAAGTTAGCTCCTTTTATTGTTGCAGCACTTGGAATCTTTGTGGAGTATTACTTCTTGCTACCTGGTTTCTCTTCTGAGAATTGATTAATTTCGAGCGGTGGGATTTAATCTTTTCTTGCGCAATTTTATTTATTTTTCTTCAACTGTGATTTCACGTAGTAGTGTAGTGTCTTCTTCCCGATGATGGTTTGATCCCTTAGCTTCTTCTTCTCTGGATCTGCAACTTAGCCCAAGTCTGTGTGCAGCTCTTCTCCTTTTCCTCCGGCCTAGCAGTGCTTATCTCTACTCTATGTAGGTCGTGGTTGTTGCTTCTCTCGTCATCACCGGCACATTTCTACTACTTTCTCTTTTGATCATGGGTTACTATACTATCCTTACCGTTCGATGCGTGATTCAGTTCCAGTCTGAGCATCCGATTTTCTCCCGCTCTGACTGCGGGGGTGTGATAGAGAATATCCATAGAATATTCTCATCCTAGGTTTAGGATATATTTTGTATAAGATTATCTTTGAGATCTGTACATATCTTATAGTTACCTAATATGATTAGGTTTCTCATTGTAACCCTATAAATATTGATCAATGGAAATCACTCTAATCAAGGAGTTTATATTATCTGACAGACAGAATAGCATTATATTAGGTGAAATGAAATGATATTATATTTTATTCATTGAGATAGAATGATTATTCAATTCAAGGCATTGGTTCAATTCATTCCCTCATTGAATATGAGAAAATTCAAGTTTCTCTCTAAGATAAATATATAAATATATCTCCTCTCATAATCTAATCTAATTTTTTTTTTAAATGATAAAAGTGAAATAAAAATAAATGCATAAAGTTGTGAGATGAGATAAACTTAAAGAGATTAAGCCGGGCTCTCATCACACCTTCATCAAACAAATATATTATATTCAGTGCAACTATTTTATTAAATCATTTAAAGTTAATCCTACGTCATATTCAAACATAGTTAAGAACTTGTTTTCTTCAACTTAATTTCAGTTTACTTTATCTCAGTTTCGAATTTCCTTCTCTTGTAAACAATTCAGTTCACTGACTTCACCCCAGTTCAGAACATGCCCTTACGTGTCCCATGTCCCGTTTCTAAAAGCTTTTCATATTTATTTTATTGATTGATAAGAATAAACAATCAGCACATTATTGAGGTGATAGTATACAAAATTATATCCAAATCAATTAAAAAGACCTCTAGAAGAATTGAACAAGATGCCAAAACGCTTTTTCCAACATCATGGGGATACCTTTCAATTAAAATCATGCTTCAATTCATGCTTCCAAATCTTATCTTATAAATTTAATTCAAAGGAAAGAATATTTGGCGTGTAAAAGGATTGGAATTCCACATCATATCAACATCAGCAGCTGTTATCACGCGGGAAGCACACTTAGACATTGCATTCAACACTCATTACAACCTATAATTTGTCGTATTTTACAACTTGCCAACAATCTCACTTTAATTCTTGCCCAACCCTTACCAATTTTTTTCAATTTGCTCATTGTATATTATGGAAATATGTCATCCTCTTACCTAATTATATTACTAATTAAGGTATGATTTATTCATCTAATTTGAATTATCTAATAATGTAATTTATTTATCTAATTTACTAATTAGGCTCATTTCAAATTAATGTATTAAGTAGGTTATTTGGTAATTACTTAGTTGACACGTAGTGTTATTGAATAATTCATAAATTAGTTATTTGAATAGGTGAAGAGTAATTTATTACTTTGTTTAAAGAATTACGGAGTACTTATATTATGATAATATTAAGTACGTGAAAATGATATATCAATTTTAATTTTACATTTTATAGGTAAATTAATAAATTGCCTAGATAATTATCAAAGAAATTGGTTCAAAACTATTTTTCTTATTCAAATGTTTGCTAATCTAAAATGAACTTTAATAAAGAAAAGAATTTGTCAAAGAAAATGACTATTAACAATAAAGACTTTTCATTCTTTAGAATATTAATTGAGCGTTGAACATATAGTTGGAAGAAAGTAACATTTTTGAAATATTCTTTCTTTAATCGATTATAGTTTGAAAAAAAAAATTACATTAAAAAAAAAAAAAAAGAGTGTGCTTCATATGACTCATATGAGCTTTTGAAGATTAGGCTAATTGGGCCACTTGATAAAAACTTCCTCTATAACAAACTATGAAATAAGTGGATAAGTTATAATGGTATTTAAAATATGCTAAATTGCTTTTTTTAGATTTTAAGCTAGTTACGTGTAGATGTGAGATCGTCTCACACTAACTTATTCTCGGATATTACTCGTATTAGAAATAGTAACAACTTACAACTCAAGTTAAGTCACTTTATGGCTTATGCAGTTATGCATGTATGTTGCATAAAAAAAAAAGGTTATGTATGTTAGATCAACAGATCGTCACTAATTTATTCTCACTTATTAACAAAGGCACAAATCACTTTTAATGGGTTTACCTTGCCTCAAAAAATTCACACAAATTACAAGATTGAGCCACGGGCTTTAATCAACACACATTTAAAGATCGTATTATGACATGACTTTATAGGTTTAAGGATTACTCCGTTTTTTTAATTTCTAAGTGGTATTTCATAATCATCAAAAGATTTAAAGAACATAACAAATTACACTTCAAGGAACATTATTTAGATTATAAATAAATCCACTTGAAAAGTATCATTATCACCAGAAGTAAATCAACATTTACAATTCTTGAGAAATGAATTTAATTACAACCAACAAAACGTGTTACTTTCTTTAATAGAAAGTTCTAATTTATTTATGTACATCCAAGCAGCAGCAAATTTACCCTTTAGTCTCTCACAGTCCAACACAACCTTTCATTCTTCTCTTCAATTCCATCCTACAAAATTCAAGTTAAAAAAAGTTAGCTCATACATTAACAAAAAAAAATATTCATATTTTTTTTTTTGCTTATTATAAAACTATTAATAATGTTGCATAAAAAAAAAAAAAAATAAATAAATAAAAAAAAAAAAGATTGATGTATACCCCATGAGTTGCCTATCAAGGTTAGAAGAGGACAACATCCCTCTATTTTCTTCAGCCCTTCTTAAAAGGTAAGGAATGACCTCTTCAACTGGCCCAAATGTTAAGTATTTGCTCACTTGAAAACCAGCATTTTTCAGCCCATATGAAAGTGCCTCCGACATTCCATATAATTGAGCAAATTGTAGCCTTTCATTCTCCTTTCCTATCCCCAATTCCCTGGCTTTCGTGGCAGCCAATTTCCCTATCGATAACACAACAGATCAAATCATTAGCATTTGAAAGACAACATATAACAGTAACGAAAAGGGTATTATTTGTGAAACATAAAATATTTATTTAAATTACCTGATTCGACATTATGGGTGGCAAGGACTGCCGCACCTGACCCACTAACGATTTTATCGAGCATAAAAGATGCACAATCATTGTAACAATCATGGGTATCTTGAATAGTGTTATGAATAGGAGACTCAAACCCTAGTGAAGCAGCCAACTTGCTTTCACTAGACATGTACGCACCTCGTACAATTTTAAACCCAATTGGTAAACCCATTTTCTCAGCAGCTTCGGTTGCTATTAACATTCTTTCTTTTGCATCTTTTAAGTACGCTTGAAGTGTACCGTACACAATTGGGGTGTCACCCAATTTGTTGTACTCAATCGCCGAGTTATACGTCAAGTAATCGATCCCGGGTTGAATTTTTGTGTCCTCGGCATCAACGGTTAATGGTACATTAAGCTCTAAACATCTTTGACAAAGTTTAGATAATCGTTCGTGGGCTAATTCAAGGTCTTGTTCTTCTTGTCGGGTTAGCGGGTCGGGTTTGTCGAGGGTATGGTATAAAGGGCTTATATCGGATAAAATTGGTAACGTGTTTTGTTTCCAAGGGAGTTTAAATGAAGGGTTTTGTTTCTCCCATCTAAGCCAATTGCTAATTTTCAGCAACAAGTCCATACGACAAATTGCACTTATCTTCACTATCACAAAGCTTACCTGCCAAAAGAAATAGTAACAAACTTTAATTAGGTAAATTCTAAAAGTGCTAAAAAAAATGATGCAAAAAAAACGTGTCACACATTAAAGTTGGCAAATTTTTATCTTGGTTTGGTTACAGATCTTCTTTGAATTGCCATCATCTTGAAAATCTTATTGCCTCCATCATCTCTTCATCATCCATGCATCATGCCTGATATAGTCGTCCTTGGCCTAGTCGCGAGACCTCCACCTTAAGTGCGAGGTTCCGGACCATGCATAATTAGTCCTCGTGCAATGTACGATTGCTGTAGTAGAGATTTGGGTTTTTGGGTCCCAATATCCCATGTAACTTGTTAGCATATAGTACACACACCGGAAATTTTTTTTATCATAGCCTCACAAAAACTTAAACAAACCAAACCAAAAGTCCAAAAGTGCCATGCAAACCTACCTAATAAGTCCTAAAAAAAGGCAAATATCATGCAACAAAAATACCCAATAACATATTTTAATTAAATAAAGAAACTTACCTCAATTAATCAAAATTATACAAGAATAAAACATGATTAAATATAAAAAAATTATATAAAGATTTTAAACATACCGAAGATGGAGGGAATAACTTGGTTGATTCAATAGTATTGAGAAAAGTCTTGTAATTCTGATCACATGAATCATTATCATAAGCATGCTCTAATCCATAGTTTAACATCCCTCTTAATCCATCACCATATAATTTTTGGACCGTCTCACTAGTTTCCTTCAAATCTTTTCCAGCAACAAATTGCTCATAAAAACTATGTTTAACAGACCCTAAAATTGCCTGACGAAATCCAGGAACATCAAGCAATTTTGATCTCATAACCCAAATACCCATATCAACAACAGGATCAATTGACGCCATGTTAAGATTAAACACTGATCTTATCAATTTTGTGGTTGAAAAAGTTGAAAACAACTCTTGGGTATTCTCAAAATTCAGAATTGAGGACTCTGTTTTGGTTTTGGTACTGGTTTCGGTTTCGGTTCCGGTTTCGGGTTTTTTCACAACGAATGATTCAGGTTTTTCATCGAAATTGAAGGGTAAAACTGGTAAGGTAGAAGGAGATGAATTCAAAGGCTTTGTGATTTGGCTAAATCTCTGAAAAAGCTTTGGTGTAAATCGAATTGCCATCAATTGATAACAATCCCCTGTTTTCCCCCTGTTTTTTATCTGTAAATTCCTCTGTTTTTCCTCTGTTTCTCTCTGTTTTCTTATTTCTCTCTGTTTTTTCTCTGTATTTTTAAGAAAAAAGGTTTTTGTGAGTTGCTGAAGTTGAGAACAAAAAGGGTATATTTATAGTGAAAAATATTAGGGTAAGTTGTTTTTAAAAATTGACTAAAAAGACAGTTAAATTTGAGGTTATACTAATTTTTTGAGCCGTTGAAGAGAGAAAAGGCTGTATTGAAGCTGTAATTAGCGAAATAACAGGTCTATTGTTTACTAATAAAGGGAATCTTTCAAGGTGAGGATTCCTTGAATCTTATATACGTCAGCATTGAAACATACGGAGTAATGGAAAGTTTATGTTCTTTATGATTACAGCTATGTGTTCTTGCCATGCAAATAAATTTTTTAAAAAGTGATATTGCTTTCTAAAAATTAAATACGGACTACTTTCTAAATCATGTGATATGTGTATAAAAACTCATGAGATTTCAATTTATTGTAGGAAAAATTGATTATAATAATAACACCTTTAGCCGGTTTACTATTAATAATCCCATTTTTTGATTATTATCTAATAATCTCATCTTTATAGGCAATTTCCTTCTATTGGTCCCTAACTTGTTGGTAACCTGTTTTAATAGGTGAATATGCTATGTGTCTTTTGTTATTGGTTGAAAATTAAAATAATTTTTTTTTAAAAAAAACTAAAAAATTAAAAAAAAATAAAAGAAAAACCAAAAAATGAAATTTAAAAAAAAAAAAAAAAAAACATATCTTAGCCACCCCAACCCCACGTCACTCCATCCCAACTCCGGGTGGTTTCATGATGAAGAAAGGATTGTTTTGATCCTTAAAATGGAGAAATTCAGATGGAGGAGCGGCGTTGTCGTTGGGTGGGTCGTGAAGAGGGAAAGATCCGGTGGTGGTGGGGGTGGGGAAGGTGGCTGCCAGGGATGGAGGGAGTGGGAAGGGACGACTATCGGAAGTTCGGGTTGCCTCCCGTGGGTTGGGGGTGGCTGGACTTTTTATTTTTTATTTTTAAATTATTTTTTTTACCAATAACATAATAACATGTGTCATTTAAATTAGAATGAAAATTATTTACCCATTGTATAAGTAACCGGTCGCAAGGGACCATTAGGAGAGAATCTCATATAAAGGTGGGATTATTAGATAATAATCAAAAGGTGGGATAATTATTAGCGAACCGGTCAAATCTAATCTAATCTAATATTTATAAAGTAGGCATTTTTGGAGAGCATTGGGAGTGCCACATAAGAAAAGGTATTATTTTAACCTATAAGAAATTAGATTTCTATTTTATTTTAGAATTAAAAAATTCACTCGCTACCTAGATAAAAGTGACGAATTAGATTTGATATATCTCCGATTTTAATGCCACGTATATTAAAATCAACAAATTAAATTATTTTCATGGAAAAAAAAGGTAAAAATTCAATTATATAGATAAATTACATGTACACCAAAAAGATAAATAAATAAAATAAAAACCCACAATTCAATCCCCAAAACCCAACCATGTCTATGCAAATTACATATGAATATCTAACTTATTAATGATAATAAACACCCACTAAATATAAATATTAATAATAATACACTACGAATATATGAATGTTAGTACTTGATGGTTGTATATTCAAATAATGTTCAACATTAGGATTTGATGAACGTAACTATGTTTTTTTTTTATTGATAAGTATTTTTAATTTATTTTTAAGTAGGAGTCGTAAATGTGTTTTTGTGGGGTATCCGTTCGGGAAAAAGGGATGGAAATTATTTGATCTTGAAACAAAGGAATTTTTTGTCTCTCGTGATGTGAAATTTGTTGAAGATATGTTTCCGTTTGGTTCCCCGACTGATGTAAATATTGATGCAAATTTTGGTGATACGGAGGATGATATTCATGTGGATTTTGCTGCTTGTGATTTGGGTTACGATGATAATGGTGCAAATATTTATGACGACACTTTTACTATGGAAAAAGGGGGGGATGCCGCTCACTCCGCAACCACCCCGCAACATGACAGTACTGGCCGCAGGGGGGTTGCGGAGTCCCCTGCCACTGCCAATGCCCAACAGAGTACTGAGAAACAGCAATATAAAACAGAGCATCAGCTTGCTGAGGCAGCCACTGCCCAGCAGCACCGCACAGAGCAGGTGGCAGATTCTGCCACTACCCAGCAGCAGAACACCGAGCAGGTGGCAGATTCTGTCCCTGCCAAGCAGTGCCGCACCGAGCAGCAGGTGGCTGATTCTGCCACTGCCCAGCAGCACCGCACAGAGCAGTAGGTGGCAGATTCTGCCACTGCTCAGCAGCACCGCACCGAGCAATTTGCAGCACCTCACGTTGACAGTGAATTGGGGCGTGGTTTTCGGGATAAATATCCCTCGGTTTTGCTTCGTGATTTTGTTACACACACGGTTGTTGCTAAGAGTCCGTCTCCTACTTCCAATCAGACTTCAGGTACTCCGTATCCATTGGCACACTACATAAACTGTGACATGTTTTCAGTGAATTATCGCAAATTTCTTGCTGCCGTTGTTTTGAGAAAGGATCCAAAATCATTTAAAGAAGCCATGAAATCTGAAGGATGGCAAAGTTCTATGAAAGAAGAAATAAGGGCTTTAGAAGACAATGGGACTTGGACTTTAGAGTATCTTCCTTCCGGTAAGAAGGCTCTAGGCAGTCAATGGGTTTACAAGACGAAATTTTTGTCTAATGGTGATGTTGAACGTCTCAAGTCTCGCTTGGTTGTTTTTGGTAATCATCAGCAGGAAGGTATAGATTACAGTGAGACTTTCGCTCCAGTTGCAAAAATGACTACAGTTCGGGCTTTTCTCGCTATAGCCACTTCTAAAAATTGGGAGCTTCATCAGATGGATGTTCATAATGTTTTTTTACATGGTGATCTAGAAGAGGAGGTGTACATGAAATGACCTCCAGGTTTTGAGAGCTCGGATCCGAGGTTGGTGTGTCGTTTGAGAAAGTCTTTGTATGGGTTGAAACAGGCTCCAAGGTGTTGGTTTGCAAAACTCACCACGGCTCTAAAAGGGTACGGTTTTATTCAATCTTACTCTGATTATTCTCTTTTCACATACACTAAAGGCAATGTTCAGATTAATGTCTTAGTTTATGTTGATGATCTTATTATTTCTGGGAATGATTCCGCTGCATTAACTGTGTTCAAGGCTTATCTTGGTGATTGTTTCAAGATGAAGGATCTTGGTCCTTTGAAGTATTTTTTGGGCATTGAGGTAGCTCATAGTAAATCTGGATTGTTTTTGTGTCAACGCAAATATACTTTGGATATTATTTCAGAAGCAGGGTTGCTAGGGGCAAAGCCAAGCGGCTTTCTGATTGAGCAAAATCATAAGCTTAGCCTTGCTAGTGGTGAGTTACTTGCTAATCCTGGGTCTTATCGCAGACTGGTAGGACGGTTAATTTATCTATTGGTTACTAGACCAGATTTGGCGTATTCTGTTCATATTCTCTCGCAATATATGCAAGAACCTCGCATTGAGCACTGGGAGGCGGCTCTGAGGGTAGTTCGTTATTTAAAGGGTACCCCGGGACAGGGTATCTTGTTGAGTGCAGACAGTGACCTGACTTTGCAAGGTTGGTGTGATTCCGATTGGGCGGCGTGTCCTCTTACTCGTCGTTCGTTGACTGGTTGGCTAGTGTTTCTTGGTAAATCTCCTATTTCGTGGAAGACCAAAAAGCAACCCACAGTTTCTTTTTCTTCTTCTGAGGCTGAGTATCGTTGCATGGCTTCAACCACACATGAGTTGAAATGGTTGAAGGCTTTGCTTTTGAGTTTGAGTGTTCAACACCCTAAGGCGATCAAGTTGTTTTGTGATAATCAATTTGCTTTACATATAGCTCGAAATCCAGTTTTTCATGAACAAACAAAGCACATTGAGATTGATTGTCACATTGTTCGAGATGCTATTACGGAGGGGTTAATTGCTCCTTCCTATGTTTCAACTAAGGAGCAACTTGCAGATATTTTTACTAAGGCGCTTGGGAAGTCTCAGTTTGATCATCTTCTTTCCAAGTTGGGCATTTACAATCCTCATGCTCCAACTTGAGGGGGGGTATTGAGAATATATTAGGATATTTTTTAGGAAATATTTCGTTAGTATCTCTTGAGGCGGGTGAATATCTTTTTGATATCTTTTCCTAGTTTCCTAATCCTATCATATTAGGGTTAACTTGTATTTTATATATAGAGGTTGAAGCCATCAATGAAGAGCCAAGTCATTCACTTCTATTTTCTCTCTATTTTAGCAATTAAATTTGTGTTTTATTTTAGAATTAATAACTTTACTTGACAAAAAAAAAAAACTACTCCACATATATATGTAGTATAAGATATGATGATATTAAATATTTGTATACATCCTCTCAAAAATACAATTTTTTTTTTCTATTATAAATAGACACTATAAATATACTACACACGCACAACCAATCCACCACGAGCTTTAATTCATTAAAACTATATAATACAAAAACGCAAACATGTGAATATTATTTATGTACTCTATTTCATGGTGTGATTTTTTTTAGGTCTAATTTGTTTATTAACAAATAATATTGGAAAAAAATGTAAGTATTTCAATGCTTTCTAATGGTAAACAAAATAAGTTGATCGTTAATTATTCATTATTTTCTAAGGTGTATGTTCTGTTTATTCTACCTAATCTAATTGTGTTACTTATCATATTAAATTTGGTTACACAACTTAATTATGATTCTATATTATTTATTCTATATTTGAAGGGATTATGTCCATGCGCCAGTTGAAGGAAATTTTGTCAAGTACTTATAAATCCAAAAGAGGGATGTGTAGATTGGAAAAGTAAGTTTGCAACTATTGTCTTATAATAGAAAGGAAAAAATTTAAAAATTGTAAGAGATGTCTCTAATAATTTTGATTTGTGTATTATAGTTTCTGGTAGAACATATGTATTATTGTTGTAAAAATCATTATAGTAGTGTGGTAATGAAATTTCATTATAAAGATTTAATTTTATACAATTAGATTAATTTCAGTAATGCAACATTCTTGGTATATACTTTTTATTTAACTATTTAAAAATTTATAAAGTCATATCTTTTTATTATTACTCTCACCATCTTTATTCGATCTTACCTTATAGTTTTGGGTTTACT